TAGAAAGACAGAAAAAGAGAAACGTATAAAGTAGGGCTAAAAAAAAAAAAGGTAGTGAAAGATTGTAAGGTTCAGAAAAGGGACGAAATGGTATTGCTAATTGATCAGTCCGGACATTTCGTTTTCTTCCTTCGTTTGCCACCTGAGGAAAAAGAAATAATATTTTAACAAGGTCTATTCTCGAGTAACTTTGTCAAAATTTGCCAAACGGAAATTGTCAATAAACGACAAGTTAACTTCGTACTCTTTCTTGCATCTTTTCTCAAAGAATTTGCATAATCGATGCTCTTTCTTTTCAAGGATTTCAACATTTTTTAAACTATCGCCTAATCGATTAAAGATATTCAAATGTAATGTGTAAAACACCCTGTGTGTCAAAAGTTTAGGAGAACAAGATTTCGAGAAGTCGAGAGAAAACAAACAAACAAAAAGGAATATAATCGTATAAACGAAGATTACATTTCGAGCATAAATCATTCGATTTTAGATGAGATATAAATCATAATGATAAAGGGACAAGCAAAAGTTAACTAACTATCCCATGACCTCGACCATGACTTTACCACTGGTTGCTAGATTAATCCGTTAACCTTTGCTTCCCTTTTTTCTTCTTCTTCTTCTTCTTCTTCTTCTTCGTCTTATTTCCTATTCTCGTTTGAACACCTACTGGTGAATTACAACAAGCATACGTGTATCTTAGTCTTGGTCTAATCCCCACTCGTCTGTACGAGGGCTGATGAAATTTATAAGGAAATTCACGTCAGCTGTTTAGAAGTGACTAAATGTTAAGTGTTAGCCATCGGTGATACTGTGTTGTCAACATTTGAATTCTAACGAATTGTCGTCAAAATGTGAGATGATATCTTATAATCCAATTAATTTCTTATTTCTGGTAACTCAAGAAGAACCTATATCAGCTTTCATTTCTGCTCGAGAATATACATGCGTTATTCTTAATCAGCTTTACTCATTTAATACTGAAGAAAATCTTGAGTTTGACACAATTTCAAAATATGCTATAGGATTGTACGCGGTCGCGCAATCAAGGTACTTCATCCTCTTATTACACTTAACGCGAGTTAAGTGTAAGAGAATAAGGGATCGATAAAGTTTCAAGTTTCAAGACAGAATGAAGAAATTTAACCCATTGATTCTATTTCTCGTGATTTTAATGGGACCTATTAGGTCGATGGACTACTATCGTTCAAGTCTGTCCAAGTCCAAGGATTACAGAGTCTACAATCTAGGAATTAGGTAGCACTAACTTCCAAGCACGTACCGTTGAATTTAAATTAATCTAACAATTAATCTAACTTTGCCTCGCCAAATCGATTTAACTACTGTAAACCACCTGTGTACACCTTTCCAACTATTTACCAACTCTAGTTATTTTTATTATTTCTATTCATGTGGATTCCTTTAGTCCAAACGTGAAACAAACAACGATTACATAAAAATCGGAATTTTTTGGCAAGAATAAAAAATAGAAAACCAAACAATCTAATTTAACTTAGTTAATTAGAAATCAAATTACCAATCATAAAAAAAAACACACACACACACACACACAGTTTAAAATAACTTTGATCGCGCGATACGTCGTCGTAATCCCTATTCTTAACCCTTTGAGTACTATTATTCTTTTTTTCCATTTATTCAATCAACATAGTTCACATTAGGAACAAAAAAGTATCCTTCCGCTAGAAGTAGTGCTGTTCAACTGGATTGCTTTCTCCCAGGAGTATTCAACGCTCAAAGGGTTTTAACTAACAGTAAATGATCCGGAAGATCTACAAAGCATGACGAACAACCTCGAAGAAAAGTTAGCCAGTACGAGATATAGGACTAGGAATAATTAACAAGTTGCTTAAAGTTACGACGAGTGGTGCGAAACTCGTTAGGGTTGTTTGGAATGATCTTCCAAGAGCAAGCATGTTGGGTGAGCGTAACTCCAAGAGTTCATCGCTATCACCGCACAAAGACCACACACTCCTGCCGTTCCACTCTTCCTTCAACCATCTATCTCTCATTCTCATTCTCGTTGATGTTGTCCCTGTCGCTATTGCTGTCGCTGTCGCTGTCGCTGTTGTTCCCGTCGGTGGTCTACGGATGGCCTAGGTAATCGGTTTACGCTAGCCACCAAACGAGGATGTTAATTCGATCAGCAACGCAGAACAACATCAACTGGATATATAGTACCAACCTAAAAATATAAATCGATCTTTGACGTTTTTTCCAATCATTCCGATTCTAAAGAAGTTTTTACTTCAATTGTTTACAGTTTTATTTATTTTTTTCATCTTTCCTCTCTCTCTCGGACTTTTTTACTATTTTTTACTCTCAACCATCCCCCCACCGTTTCGTCGGAAAATCGTAAAAGCGAAATTGATTTATAACTCGGTAGAAAATCTTATTAAAATGGCGAGGAATGGAAAATGTAATGCGAAATAAACTCAATCCGTTCGTTGCAGCTACATCTTGTTCCTTTTTTTCCTTTTCCTTTTTCTTTTTCTTTTTCTTTTTCTTTTTCTTTTTTCGAACAACAAATTTGAAGTGAGCAAAGCTTTTGGTACTCCGCTCGGAACGTTTTTAAATTTATTTACCGTTTTTTTTTTCTCACTTTAATTGATGGGGGGTCCTTCTATAAAAGGATTTCATGGAAAATTTGATTTAAACGGAGGACGACGACGACGACGATCGATTGATACGTTCGTTGTGCTTAATGAAATTATTGATCCTTCGACGTTGACGCCTGACGAAAGTCCTCAGAAAATTTGACTTTCCTTCCATCCAAACTCGATATTACCTATATTTCATGCTACGGCGTCGTTCGTAGAGAGAACACATCGGAGTGTCATCGTCTCGTTAAAATCACCTAATTAAAAGATACTTTTGTAAGGTTCACACCTTTCTATTACAATATATAAAGGATAAAAGGATCAATTTGGATTTTTTCAGTATATTTTGACAATTTTTATGCTCCTATATCGTATTTTTAATCAATCTTTCGAATTTTTTCATCTGTCATCTGTGTATACGTGTTGCAGCGGATTTTGTTATAATTTTCTTTTTGTTACAGGTGATGAGCTTCGTTGGATTTAACAACAAACCTTTTCTATTCTCCTCCTGCTGTTTATAATATATGTATGTATAAATGCATTTCTGAAGGCACACATATAAACACAATATGAAATATATATATCTTAAAGTGGAATGCCCTATATACCTATATTATATTGCATATTTTTACATCTATCGGCTATTTGAGGAGAAGATTTGTTCTTGTTTTCTTGTTCGTAGACCTGTGTGTGTCCTTTGAAATAAAAAGAAAGAAAAAAATAGGACGAATCGATTATTCTAACAAATATTTGTACTAATTAAAACGACAACGATCAAAGTCCCGCGTATTCTTTTTATTCCAACTGGAAAATCAAATTTTTGTGTTAAGAACAAAATCTATGAATTATTATGAAATCGATATTTATCGTATCGAAAGAAATAAATGTTAAACGATGATTGTACGATGAAGAAACTTGTAGATTATTATCGTATTAGAAGCAGAACCTTGTAAAAAGTTATCTACGAATAGATTTCAAACTGAAAAGATTAAACTCAGCTGCATAAGTTAGTTTGACTCATTAAATGATACACCCGTTTCAAACCGGTCTAATGAAATAACTTTTGAACAATCTCATTGTTTTTTTGCTCTCTTCTTCTTTTTTTTTCCATCAATTTAAACTAACGACAAATTTAACTATTGCTTAAGACGATAAACGAGCAAATTAAAAACAGGATATTACTTCTTCTTCTGACTGACAGACAGACAGACAGGCAGACAGACATCAAAGATATATCCATTTTATTATTGAAAAAGTTTGATGAAAGTCTCTTAATTGACCATTTTAAATAATATATTAAATCAATTTGTACGTTCTTTTTTGGTTATCGATGAAAGTTTACACGAATTTATGAAATTCTTCTTCAAGAGATCCATCCGTAATATTAGAAAAATAATAAAAATGTTCTCTTCTTCTTTTTTTTTTTTTTTTTTTTTGAGAAAAAGTAGAACCGTGCGGTTAAGGAAAATATTTTGTCGAATCCACTTTCTGTTATTATTATTATTAAAAATAATGAAAAACCTAGTGGTTGACTTAACTTGGAGTAAAAGAGGGAGGCGTCTGCGCATTGACTAAGAAGGAAAACTATCCTCTCTCTCTGGTGGTGGTGGTGGTGGTGGTGGTGGAGGTGGTGGAGGTGATGGTGCTGGAGGATTCGTCGAGTTTGACCGAACGACGACAGTGTGCGAACCGCCAGCACGCGACGCGCTTATTTTCCTACAAATGAACGTACATTTGCTTTGCTTGTTTTCAGCAATGCTTCGATTAATAATTCTTACATCATAAAAGAAAATTATTCGACGAGAAGAGCAAGAATTAAAAAAAAAGCAAACTTCCAATTATAATAATAATAATAATAAAAAGGTTATATATATTTTTGTTTTGGTCATTACGCGATTAATGAGAAAATCATTGAAAAGTATGTAAAATATATGAATTTTGTAAGATATTTGAGTGAACATTGGAGAAAAAAACATTATTCATCGTTGTTATTATTTGTACACAGTAAGGACAAAATATATATATATATATGCGCTATCGCTACATATGCGGATGAAAATAAAAGTCTGTGGAATTGTGTGTGACATTCGTGTGCTGTTGGACACGACGACGAACATTGCAAAATCATTTTATAACGTAATTTCGCGCGTAAAAATTGCCCTTTCAATATTGAAATTTGAAATTTCAACGCGTCATTTATATTCGTGTGGAATACGTAGATCAAATTGAAATTGCTTTGAGGGAAATTGAAAATTGAAAAAGGAAATAACTACAAAAAATAAAAAAATAAAAAAATAAAAAAATAAAAGAGAAAATGCTTCAAATGAAGCGGAAATGTAATATTAATATAGGAAGGATACGGTACGTTTTATTTGTTGAAAAATTATTAAATAAAAGCAAACTCGCGTTACGTATATGTGTCAATATTTATATATCATCGCGTATTTAACACCGTTATTCGACTAAAGAGATTACAATGCAACATTAAAATACGCCTAATTACAAATTTGGAAACATTTCAATTATCAATTGAAATTATGGACAAATATAGAAAAAGGGTAACGTAAAAGGTCAAAAGCTACGAATTTTCCCAAAGGTCTTTGATAGATTTAAAAACAATTTGGAATACTTCGAAAAGAGGATTCGGCGGCGACTGGAAAACTTTCCTATCGAGTTTTCCACAAGTTATCCGAAAGAATTTTCCGTCAGACTTCTTGGGAGTAGTAGAGGTAGGAGGTTTGGAAAGAAAAAAAAAAAAAAAAAAAAAAAAACACGAGAAAAAAATCTAATCTCGAGCAATATTCCCCTATCTACGTATAATCATTGAATATTGTAGCAATATTCAAAATTTGGTCAATAGTAGTATCGCCTAAAGTACTTATTTGACAATCATTTTCTCTACTTTTATTGTTATCACACACACACGCATACACGCACACGCACACGCACACGCACACGCATGCACGCATATATTTGCAAACAGAATAAAAATAGTTCAAGTTTTGGATTTCATCGCAATTGTTGGAAAATGAAGGAAGTTGCATTATTACGAGTATCTTTTACATAGAAGACGACAGGGTGTACTCTGAAAAATGTATTTATTTTTATTTACGGTATATAAACTCGTTGAATAATCTCGTCTCGAGACTTTTTCTTCAGATAAAAGTTCATGAAGAAGGAAAAAAACAATTCACTCTCTCGAACAAACGACTAAGGACAACTTTGAAATTTCCTATTATACCTACGTACTTTACGTTATTATGAAGTTTTGTTCATTATTTTAATAACAATTATTTCAACGTAACTAAACTAACACGAAGATTTCATATTATCACATAGATAGGAGAGATTTATTTTCACTATCTGCCGTTTGAATTATCATTTCAATGGGTATTATTTTCTCTTGTAATCTTCTAATCCGTTATAAATCTGTTTAAAAATGTCATTTATCTCGTTTCCTACAAAATTCCGGATTATATTTGTACCTCTTTATCTCTTTGTTTCATATAAAGATAATTTACTTTACTTGTTGTACTAATTGTGCAAATGATTGGTCCCGTTTTCAACGTAACAAACAATATTACCGGATAAAAAAGAATGGATGAATGGATTTTCATATCACGTTTCTGCTCCTTCCCTTGTTCCCTCTCTTCTTTCATTGCATGGTATATCATAAATGCAACGTTTCAAATTCATATCGAAGGTGAACTTTTTTTTTTTTGCTTTTATCGTATGGAAAGTGGAACATTTTTCTCATTACTTTACAATCCAATTGGCAATAGCATCTAACCCCTTTAATATAGTTTTCTTATTGCATATGCATATTATAACGATTTGGAAGTGTAGTTATTTAACTATGCATGAGAAAAGTTAACGATAATCACATAAAGCCTGTCAAGTTATGAAATATTAAATCACACATTAAGGGTAACATACCCGTTTCACGCGTTATACGTTGAACAAGTTTCTACATATCCATAATTAATTGCTGAAAACCACACGAGTACGCTAACGCACTACCATCCTCTTCAACATAATTTCATAACTATTTCTTAGTTAGTACAGAACTAACTATATATGATTTTTTTTTTTTTTTTAAAGAAAGCATTAAAAAGAAACTCATTAAAAATCATTAAGATTTCATATCAACCAGGTGAGAGATGTTTTTCTTTCTCGGATAATAACAAATTTTTCCTCTATGTTTTCTCTTTCTCATCTTCCTTTTTCCTTTAAGCCCGCCTTCCTTTTATCCTATCATTCTATTTTACCATCCTCCTTTTTTCTTCACTCTGTCTCGTGCCCTATTCTACTTTTTTATTATTGTTTGTTATTATTATTATTTTTCTCCATCCTTTCTCGCATAGTTTCCCCCCCTTTTCAAGATACGAAAGAGCAATTGTCATAGAAACAAAATGTGGTGGAGGTGTATCGAGGAAGGGTGTGATATGTTAGTCATCAAATATTCTGTCGTTATTAATAATATTCTCGTTATTTCAAATTGTCTAAATATTATATTAACAAGCTTCGTATCGAACAAACTAGAAGTTTAAAAGAATCGATTTTTTGGAATCGATTTCATTTAATAATAAACTATGATCTGTACCTAGGTTGAGACTATGTAAATATACATTCGTCATAGAATATAACAAAATCCGATAGAATTCACGTATATTCTATAGCATATTTAAATGGAGAAGCCTATACACATAAATATTCAGATAATATTAACATATTCATAAGCCCACGTACCATCGGTTTCGATTATCCACAAAATGTCAGTTTAAATCCCTCAGTATAAACGTACAACTCTCGTGTGTGCCTTGTCTTTATAAATTGTCCTAAATATTTTTTCAATACGTTACAATATGACGGTATTTTTTGTGTTATCCAAAACTTCACGGGTAATGTCAAATATTGGAATTTATTGAAACGATCCAAACTGCTTTTCGATACATTCGTATATTCGATAAGAAAACAATGACGGCAATTGTTGTTGACCAAAAAATCGATAATATTATCGAGGCCAATATAAATTTAAAACCAAGCAGATTCGTAGGGACTYCATTCATTCATTGTTTTCACATTTCTCAATACTTTCGTTCATTTAATCTTCCCCTCTTCTTACTTTTTTGGGGTACCATACAAAGATACAATACAAAAGAATTGATATTGTGAGGTAGGTCAGGCGGTCGAGAGGTCTGCCCTAATATGAGACTTCGAACCTTCGAGTTCTCTGTCAACCCCAAGTACCTTAGCAGAAGTGTCACGTCCCCTAGTCCATTCCATACTAGTTTCAAAGACATTGTAATAAAACTATGACAGCATCTAAATCGTAATCGATCGAATCGATCAAGAAGGAATATTTGCATTCAACACCATTCAACACAACAATTTCATAATGGTCTCATTTGGCAGAACATTAATATATACGGTGGACTGTAAACGGGTAGCTCTCTAGTACTAGACAATGTCCTTTGATGTTGCATATATCTATGCATTGTAGAAGGCGTGAATACGGATCTGTATGTCTAGCTCTCGAATCGACAGAATGCGGATCAAAGGTATTGTCCAAATCCCGCAACTAGGGTGTCACGTTACGAGCCCTTTCAAAACTCTCTATAGCAAGAACTCTCTATAGCAAGATTCAGAAGTGGATCGAGGATGCTGAAATAGTTCTCTTTTCCAAATCGATAATATTCTTTGCTTCTATCTTCTTTCCATTCTCCATTTTATCCCATCTTTTTTTTCTACAAATGTAATATTGTCTAGGAGAATAATATGCCTAGGCAGTTTCATATTACATTTTAGCATTATTATGCAGATATATAGTTTGTTATTTGTTCATTTTTCACAAATATTTTCTCTCAACCATCCGCGTCTATATGCATTTTATCTTTAATTTTCATTTTTCGTTTTTTCGTTTTGTCGTTTTTACGATACTGTTACATAATATGCGAATTTCATTTCTTCGTTGCTTGAAACTTTGTAATATAGGAAAATAACGTAATGTAAATAAATATATATATATGTAACACATTACATTGCATTAAATTCATTGCTCGACGAAGCTATATCGTATATTTATATACGATATAGATAGTATATATAACTAAAGTAAAAGAACTACCGAGATCTCTTATTGTTACCAAAAGTTAACATCTTTTCAACTTCATTCATTTGAAATAACAAACTGAACAAACAGCGATACTTTGAGAGCTCTTCTTGTTCATATTTTAAAAGAACAATATTTTTTTTTTATCTGTCCGATTCTCGATATTTAATTGATCGTTTCATCAAGATAATTGATGAAATATTAGTGTAAAAAATAAAAAAGGATATAAAAATAAACAGTGTCTCTAACGAGATTACCAAAGTTATATTCAGTCGAGCTATCAGAGTAGTTTAAGTTGTTGCAATTCAAAGGGAAAGGAATATATCCATTGGTGTGGTTTCTGTTTGCAGACGATGAAAATTCAAGGGGCAAACCCGAGTCGTCGAAAACACGACGACGACTGATTATGAAGTTTAGTCGCACGAGCCGTCATTTCTCTCGTCACCTCCTGTCGTATTCTCCCTCCGAGGCCCTTCATCTTCCTCACCTCCTAACCTTCCTACTAATAGGACTGACCTTCCTTCGTAGCGTTTTACCGTGCAATTGCGAAAAAACACAAAAACTTGTAATAAACGAGGATGACAAAATATTATATCCGAGAAAGGACGAATCCAATGAAAAAGAACAACAACAACAACAACAACAACAGTGGACAATTCCAAGAGAAAATGATAAAAACGTGTCTATCGTCGAGGAGATTTTCAGTAAACCGGAAGTTAATGATTCGATAGATGAATTGATCCGCCGACAATCCGACGATATTTTCATGAATGATCTTTTATTAAAAGAAAACGATCTGAGTAGGAGAAGACAGAAAAGAAGGAAGAAAAATCGTACGATCGTAGGTACATCACGAAGGGAAGATATTTTAGTGGTAAATGACACGAATTCTCTAACGATTATTTGTGATAATACGACATTCATATGTGATACGAAAAAAGATGACGATACTAATCCGACGATACTTAATGAGACATCAGTAAAATGGATTACTCAAAATGTTAGTAAAGTTTTGGAGGAAGATGCACCGTTTCTTGGTTTTGAAGGCTCGCAAAAGTTTCCCGTTAAAGTGACACATAAACCACCGTTGGTAGTACCGCACCAGGAGAAATTTGATCGGCGTCATTTCGGTCCACCAAAAATTGACGTTCAAGAACCAACGGAGTCAGCAACGTCGATGGAACCACCTGATTTACCCAAAAGTCCAAGTAGAGACGTTCCTTTAAGACGTAAAACGGAAGAGATCGAAAGTTCCACAATGAAAGAGGAGGAGGAGGAGGAGGAGGAGGAGGAGGAGGAGGAAAACATCTTTCAAATGTCTGAAATTTCATCAACGACACCAGACGTAACTTTGAATGTGGATATCGTTTCTACGATCAAATCTACGATATTCCCTATTTTGACGTCAACAAGTGCGATCGAAAAGGATCCCCCTTCTTCTCCTGCTCCTTCTCTTCGTGAGAACGTTGAACGTGTCGTCGATATCGAAGAAACGGTAACGAGGATAAAAGAGGAAGATGATACTGTGACGGATACTGTGACGGATACGAGTGTCTTTGAGAAAATAAATGTTACGATCTTGGGACTGTTCGAGATGACACGAGGACACGAACCAAGATCCGAAGGACCTGCCGAATTTCAGGCTGCTAAATTGGCCGTTGATCGGATCAACGAGATGAACTTTCTGAAAAAATTTCACCTACGTCTCATCCACAACGACACTAAGGTAACAACGCTAGAAAAATCGTTCCAATTTCTTTTCTTTTCTTTTCTTTTCTTTTCTTTTCTTTTCTTTTCTTTTCTTTTGTAGATATTAATAGAAAATAAATTGTCCAAATCGTCGTGATAACATTGAAATTCTAGCAATTATTTTCTTTACGATAATATTTCTTACAATATGATTTCTCTAATTCATATATATTTCTAACAACGTTATAATATATTTGATGCATTCTTTGGTAACAATGCATTGACCGATCATGAAATAGATCTGCACAATGGTCTCGCACAGAATGAAGAATAATACGATGCACGCTCATTCATTCATTCATATACAATGAATACTCGACATTGCTATGAGTTTCTAGTAGACCCTTTGACGAAACGAAAACCACCACCATCCTTTCCTTTCACTTCGTTTATATAAGTAAGTTAGTGCATGTACACATTATATACATTTGTATAGCAGAAATTGTATACAAAAAAAAAATGTATAATAATTGAAAGACAAGTAGCGTAATTACGTGACTTGAAATTTCATACGAGCTTTATTCCCTAAACAATTATCCATTAACGAATAGTTTGCACACACACGGAGCTATTTTGATTATACACAATATATGTGATATTATTAATCTCATAACTCACTTCCACCTTGCTTTAATTTATATGACCACGAAAAAAAATGCAAGGTGGAAGTTTAATCGATAATTCAATAAATGGATATAAATTTTCTAATATCGATTGGATTGAGCGTAGAAAATGAAAGAATGTACGCAATCAAACGCGTTGATTAAAGTTAGATACTTTGATTAATTTTAGCTTTATATTATGTCCATTTGAAAGAGCAAAATATATGCCATATTGTATGGCATTAAAAAAGCAGCATACGATAAATCGTCGATAAAACGTCGATAAAACGTCGATAAAAGTCAACTTTCATTTGGCGACACTATTAACATTCCACATAGGACAAGTTTCGGAATCTGACAAAGTATCTATCCGTCAATTTTATTCGGTTCGGTCCGATCGGAACTTGTTGCACCCCCTGTCAAAGGTCTCTCGAAAATTTCTTCTATTTTTCTCAAGCGAATTTTTCTTTTCTTTACCTTGTTTCCTGGCTCTTGCTATTCTGAAAAAAAAAAAACAAAAAAAACAAATGTCTTTTAAATTGCAATCGAAATGGGTTCCGCCGTGGCAACATCACTTTTTTACGATTATTGACGATTATTGACTTGTTAAAAGATTTTTAACTCCCACATTCCATCCACCTTTTGAATTTTCCCTTGGTTCTATAAACACCATCATTTCCAGACATTATCGTTGTAACCGTATTCATGATTTTGCATAATAATAACAGATTCGTTTTAGTTTACGCTTTTATGCATTACAAATATGTTCGTGCGTGATAATAACATATTATAATTTTAAAGTGCTCATATATAGGTAATATATTGAAATTGATGTCATTTTGAAGCTAATCGAGCGATATAATATTAATAATATAATATTTATAAAATTGTAATATCATAATTAATGACAAACATAGAGAAAGAATTTCATTTTTCTATAGAAAAATAAATATGATAATGTATAAAAGTAACACTAATGATTTCGTTAGAAATCCACGACAGTTGTATAATACTTCATAAAATGACGTATGTACTCGTTCTGTACAGTAATTATCGCATAATGAATCTCTTACTCTTCCATTTAATGAATCCAAATGTTTCTTTTTTGCAAATAATAAATTAACACGAAGATTAGGAAAATGTTCTCCTTGAGTAATACGAAAGCACTATGACTAGCAATATTTTGGTTATTTTGAATAATTGACAACAACAACAACAACAACAACAGCAACAACAAAATGTGTGTGAAAAAATTAAATTGTAAAAAGTAGCAATCGTAAATGAATAATATTAAAAATTAGTATGTATGAAGGAAAACGTAACTAATGATATAGAACTACTCACACGGAAGCGTAAACGAGCTTTATTAATAAAACGACTTCCATCAAAATCAGGATGGTGGTAAGCGCGGGATCAAAGGAATTTTCCTCATCCCTTAAGTTACCTCGACGTTTAACGTCACAAATTCATAATAAGAGTCAATTTGGATGCTTAGAGAAATTTCATTAAATCTTTCCCTCTATCTTGTACAATTCTTCCTTAAAGTGGTCAAATTTTCATTTTAAAATTACCAACAAATTCATCTTCCTTGGATGAAAAAAAAAAACGATAAAATGTAAAAGTACGTCTGATCATTTCCTGAGTTCGATGCAATCGTGCACCATTGACCCCCCTAGGTCTGTCGAAAACCTCATTAAACGAGTAATCGAAGTACCACGTGGCTTTTATACGCGTTTGCCCGAAGCAACCATGTATATATATATACGTATATATACGTATATATATGTATATACGTGTATGTGTGAACCGTTTACATCGGTTGTGTTACAAACCATGCCGCAAGCAATTGTATAATTTAACCAATCCTCCGCCGAACGAAACTCCATAAAAGCTTTGCCTTATACGATTGAGAAAGTATTTCGAGTGTGACTAAATTGAAATTCGAGTTGTGTCTTTCAATAGTCGTAGAAAAGGTGCACACAGCCTTGCGTATAACACGAACCTTTCCTTTCAATTCCCTTTACTCTATACTTTTATCAATTCTTTCATATTACTTTATGTAAATAAATGATATTCAAATGTGTTCCGATAGCAATATCTATCTATTTTACACAATACTGTTGTATTAATTCTCTCGAAACTTAGTTTTTCGAAGGTTTCACTTCTAACACGTGTGATCTGCCCACATGATATGTTTTTTTTATTTTTTTTATGAAATGCTTTCTTTCTTTTCTAAATTTGATTAGAAATTCAGGAAAATTCGACGAAATAATCTTGAATAAAAGAAAAGTAGGATTAGAAAGAGAAAGAGGAGGAAGAGAAAATTTCGTTCGACGAGCGTTGAGATTGAAATGGGTGGTTACTGTTTCGAAAAGTGAATTATCGTGGAAAGCACAGCGTGTTCGGTATTATTCGATTAAACTGGAATTGAGTTAGAAGGGGTAACAAGTGAAACCGTGGGTATAACACAACATCTCCACGTCCTATAATATATTTTATATTAATTTTTTATTGTATTTTATTGTATTTTATTGTATTTTTCATTAATATTGATGTCCAGCAAAAAGGAAATAATACGAAGACGATTAGAAAAAGTTAACGACTAAGGAAAGAAGTCGTGCATTCACCGGACGCATCTACATATTTTAATTAAATGAAAACGTTCGCACGTGGGAGCACGATTCCGTTCCAGAAAACGAACCGAAACTAATTTGCACTTGTTCGTTCAAGGACCAAAATCAATGTAGATATTAGTTTGACAATTAATCGCACGTAATTGGCCTTGACAAAAGGCCAATTATTAATAATTTCGTAAAAATCATTTACGTTTCTACGTTGAAATATTATTTTCAATAATAATTGAATAATGACGAATCGACTTAATTATCGATGACAAAAAATCCAACATGAGTTACGACCAACTTATTGTTAGAAAACTTTTTTCTTCGAATTCGGCGGCCCTTTTGCAAGCTCTCTCTCTCTCTCCCTCAGCTTTTTCGCAAAAGTGTGTAAAAAAACGCGTGATCGATGACACGGTTTTTCATGACATACAAAACGCTTTTCCACTTGCTCGTAGCCGTAGTAGAGTCTTCATGTTTTGCGCATATTTACATAACGCTAAAGCGCGTATTCTTTTTTAAAACACGCGTAAAAGAGAGAGAAAGAGAGAGAGAGAGAGAGAGAGATCAAAAGCTAGATTGTACTTTCTATTTAAATGTATACATACATTTGTTCTTACACTTTTTTCTGTGTAATCTTTTCTTTACCTTTTTTGTTTCTTTTAGTTGTAGTAGTTTAGTTTTTAGCAAATCGTATCGCGTGTCATCGTAGAAAATCTATTTTACACTAGTATAGTTTATATAGTATCGCGTCACACGTATCATTATCGATGCTTCAATAAGTTCAGTTCAACTGATGTATTAACATTTAATTAGGTAGCTTCCACGCAAGTTCACCTACGTAGATAATTCGTGACGTGCTCAGGAAATAATGAATCCTTTGTATGCTTACTAATTAGACGAAAAGTCATAATAATGAAGGAACGACGATGAGGAATGTGGTGGCTGATTTAGAAATTATTCAAATGTTATCACAGTCGGTCGTAGAAATTGTCTTTTATCTGTAGAACTTTTTTGAAGAATTATTGTCGAATTAAAGATTATAAATAATCACACAAAACAGAAGAAGAAGAAGAAGAAGAAGAAGAAAAAAAACAAAATGAAGGGTCAAGTTTAGGTGGTAACACATTTAACTGTGGATAGATAGAATTTAGATTAATTGCTAACTGTCCCAACGTGATTTCCTTTCTTGACATGATTCATTTTGAATCATCTCTCTTCTTTCCTCTCTTCTTTCCTCTCTTCTTTGCTCTTTCTATCTCTCGCTTATTCTTGTTATAGCTAACGTAAACCCTTGAAATCCTTAAGCTTCCCCACGTAGCAGAGATCACATCGTGTTCTTCTCGGAAATGGCATATGGCGGCGGCGGTGGCCCAGATTTACGGGATAATCGAACTTTCATCCTACTCGAATTCGTGCACTTATGTTACCTGATCTTATTCAGCGTAGAAGAAATATTCTATTCATTCTATCGTAGATTTTTTGGATAATGAAATTTCTAAATCTCCTAAAAGTTCAAAAGAATCGAAAGTATTATTTGTCACACGTAACTCTAAATGAAAATATTTTCACTAGAATTTCACCCTGAAAAGAGAAATTTTGGAAAGAGAATATATATTGCGGTAACTTTACTTTTCGAACTTTACTTTTTGTTGTTTATTGTTCTGCTGCAATCTACGTTCCTAAGAGTAACTTGTGACTTTGTATTTTATAGTTGTATCGTTGATTAAATGCACAAAGTTCGCTCGAAGGGTTGCAAATTGCAGTTACTGTTTTGGATCTCTCTGGTAATTCATTTCAAGGTGTTACAGTATAACGTGACAACAATTCGAAAGTATTCTATGAACCGCTGGTTAGAATTTCGTTAAAAGCTACCGTGATTACGGTAACTTCTTTCAAATTGGCGAGATTTCCTTCAATTTAGAAATCGGAGCCAATTACGTACGGTCACAACGCTTTCTATTCGATCTTTGTGTGTGTGTGTGCGTGTGTGTGTGCGCACGTGCGTGTGTGTCACCGTTTTATCTGCCCTTCGCAATTATCTTCCAATGTAAAACCTTTAACCATTCCAACGTTCGACAATGTCCTTCGTATTTCAGGAACTAGAAAACACGTTTACGCGACTGTCAATCAAATGATTATTTTCAAACTTGGGGAAAAAGACAAACGAGAATAAATATATTTACTTGACAAATAATTCCAATGCGAATATTACAAATGATTTATTCAGGGTTCGTACTAACTTCTCAACAAGTTTCAGATTTCTTTCTAAATATAAATGAAAAAGAATATGAGATAGAATTATCAAATAGTTGAGTTAATAAAAGAAAAACATTCGAAATATTTCTTGAAATCTTATTATCGAAGTTTATTATATTATTTTATTATTCATTTTGAAAGATGGTCAACGTGTCTACGATTCTAATTGCAACACAAGACGAATAATAATTATTTGTTCTTTTGTAGCATATTACAACATACTAATATCGATGTGACTATACATAATAAGATGGATCAATAAGTAGCCCTAGGCAAATTACTTAACTAATAAAGAAATAATCTGCACGCAGAAATTTCAATGTGCTTACATTTGTGCACATTTCATGCAATAATTCATACGCATACGACATCATTTCAATACAAATCCAATTGTCTAATATAAATTATTTAACAAAGAAATTGAATAGTGTTAAACACGTTTATCTTCCTCTTCCACTTTAATTCTTGAATTCTTTAAACGTCGATCATCGACTCCATTGTGATAATGAAGCAGAATCGAATAAACTTGATTAAATTAACAACCATTTTTCATTGTCGCTTTTATCTTTGTTTCTTTTACAAATAACTTCCTTTTTAATATTGTTGAAGATAAATCGATGAGAAAATAAAAACAAAATGAAAGAGAGTAAAGGAAGACAGAAAAATATGAAGAAAGTTCTTTTCGTAAACTTTCCAAATGAAAAAGTTGAAGTTAAGTGAATGTTAGGAATCGGTGCTAATTGAATAAAAACTCGAAAAGGTGAACTTCATTATCTGACAAGTCAACAATCGGATCTTTCAATTTATCACCGAACCAATTTGAAAGTTATCGAAATTTCGGATTGATTGAAAAATTCAATATTAACAACAATTGTTGGTGATGCACGTAACCTGATTTTTGTTTAAATCCTCTTAGGGTTGTTTATCTTGGGTATAGGCACTGTGAACAATCCTATCACACAATACACTCTGTCACTTTCTCCTTCTTCTCCTCGGTTTCCGTTCTATTATTATCTCCCTTTTCCCCCTAAATCTTCCCCCTAAATCTTCCCTCTAAAGATCTTTAGCGAAAGACGAGGGCAACTTGAACAAAATGAAGCAAAAAAATGTTTTATCCAAGTGGCATTTATCGTACAACCGAGCGGCATCAGCATTTGACGATTTATTAGTAAGTCAGTGAGATGCGGCAAAGAAATGGGCTAAATGTTGAATGAGGAACACCTTTTGGAAAAAGAGATGAACGAAAGACCAGTGTGTACACACCTGCTGGCTCAGCGCATCGATCGATCCATTTCAAATTTTCCTCATTTTCCACCTTCCCCCGTCCGTCCTATTTTCACATCAATCATCCTCTTTTCTCCTTTTTCACCCTCTATGTATCATTGTCTTCCTATTTTTCCACACTACGGATACTCCATCTTGATATATATTTTATTATATTATATTTATAACAAATCTTAGAATTTCTTCGAAAATTCATTCAATGTTTTCTACAACCTATTTTGGAAGATTCAAAACTCAAACAAATATATCATTCCTGATAATCTCCATACTTTGGATTGTATATATTTTCAAAGATTATGTTAGAAAAATCGGAAAAGCGTTGAAACAGCTCGAGAGAAAGGATTGTAAAAAGGATTGTTCATAGCTGTCAAGGTTCTCGTCCTGTCACACGTCTTATTTCCGGATTATCCTTGACAATTGGAAAAAGTCCATTTGAACTTTCTTCCATTCTAGTGATTTCTCTTTCTCTATTTATTTTACTATCTTCTCAGCTTGCTTGCTTGCTTGCTTGCTTGCTTGCATTGGTAACAATTTATCGACTAGAATTCGTAATCTACTAAACGTTTTTCAGTTTTTCCTGGAAAGTGTCGACAACACGTTTCTTCTATAGCAAAGTAATAACGTCAACCTTGACTGGACGCAAATTGACTATAAACTATTACAAACTCGCCAAACTTCTGACCATTTTTCCTTTTAAACAATTTCTAATTACAAATCCAATGATTACAATTTAATCAAATCGTTAACGTCAATTCAAACTAATTTGTTATTTCATGGAAAATAGAAATAACGTTGAGTTTCAGTTTTCAGATATAAGACTAATTAAAAAAAAAAAAAAGGTATCCTAATCCTTTGATGTGAACCAACGTAAAACTCCCTATCTATCGATATTCAACTTTCGATTTCAACTACTTTCGCAACAGGTCTCAAGCTACAAGTCCTCCTGACCTCCAGTTATCCTGACCATTACTTACAAAATATAATCCTTTATCCTTGAGACTTGAAATGATTGAAGAAAATACAAAAAAAAAAAAAATTAAAATGTATAGACCATCATAAATATTTATGATCTGAAACGAAAACTTTTTAAAATGCTGGACAATGATAGAGGTTTGGGATGAAATTCGAATAGAAAAAAGAAGAGAATTATTGAATGTTATTTAATTAATGAATATTTCCATATATATTAACGATACTTCAAGCATGAATTTTGCGATATTTATCAAAACGAAATGCACTTTTGATCCAATCTAAATTCTACGATAAAAAATCTTGTTTCTATTTTGAACGATTGTAAAATTGATCATCGAACTTTGATCTTACCTATGGAAATAGTCTGGAAATGTATTGCAAGATGATAGTTTGTATTTAATTATTCAATTATTTTTTTCCCCAACAGAGTATTAATTAAAACTCCGAACAGATACAAAGAAATACTAACCACTGCTTCTACGTGAGCAAGAACATTCGGCGACGAAATAAAATAGCAGAAATTAGTGAAACTAAGCTTTCCATAAAGTTGTTTCATTTTATGGTTGCTCTTGTTGTGAGACGGGTATAAAAAACGGGTATAAAAAAAATATAAAGCGTTTTAAAAGTGGCATTAAAATTATGTAAAAAATATTTCCTGATTCACTTGTGTGCTTTTTCGGCTTAAAGCAACAAACAAAAAACAAAAAACAAAAAACAAAAAAGAAAGTATCAAAAGGCTAAGTGAAATAGTATAATAATTGTTCTTTTGTTATCTTTTTGTTGTATTACTTTATCAATTATATTAATATATCTAAACTTGAGAGATGATTTGAACAATAGAATGGTTCAATATTCGAATTGTGTATTAAAGTAGGTAGTACTCGATGCGAGTTCCTATTTCCCTCTCGACCCACCATGAAAGGATTCACGCAAGAAGACCGTTAAGCTTTTCTGAGTTTCCACCTCGTCCGGGTTGAATAATTGCTCCTTAAGATTTACCTGCTTTTCTCTCACCTTACTAGATCTAATAAGTTTCACATTAACCTTTCCTTTTTTCTATGTTTCGTGTATGGCTCAAATGGCATCCCACCATAGATTATATAAGATAACTGAGTTGATTCTTAACTCTTCTATCTTCACCAAAGATACTTTCATTCTACAAAGAAATTTAAAAAAAAATCGCAATCTTCTTTCCCTTGCTCGTAATAAATGTCTTGATGAAATGAATGTAATGAAACGAAATGATCAAATTTACACAACAACAACAACAACAAACTTAAAAATGATCTTTGAGGAAGTAGAAAAAAAAAGAAACAATATATCAAGGAATATCCTTGAAAACACATAAATTCAATGTAGGTTAATCTAATATATATTAATAATAGGTTCTACCTCATTTACTCCAATTTCATGTCTCAGTGCGATCCTGGCGTAGCCGTGGACAGATTCTTCCATGCTCTCTACTCAAGAAGAACTAACAAGCTGATGCCTCTCCTCCTTGGTACAGCGTGTTCTGAGGTAACTGAAACCTTGGCAAAGATCGTACCTTACTGGAACGTGATTCAAGTATCTTTTGGCTCGACTGCACCTGCACTCTCAGATTCGACCGAATTTCCATTGTTCTTGCGAACTGTTGCTCCGGATTCCAGTCACAATTCAGCAAGGATAGCTTTGATTAAACATTATGGTTGGGATACGGTAAACGCGCTTTCACAAACTGGAGATATGTACTCTCTGGTAAGCAATCAGTCACCCTAGTCTAATTACATAGTTTCAATCATGTAAAGTTATATTACAGTATAAGTAGAGTAAAATGTACAAATTTTCAAATATATCGTTAAAGGCAATAAACGATCTAGTGACGGAATTGGAGCAAGCCAACATCTCGTGCAGAGCAACCATCACCTTTGCTGAAAATGATTACAAGGAACAACTGAAAAATTTAAAAGTAAGAATTACTTTAGTGTTAAGAGTAACAATTAAAACTTACAATTAGCTGCTCTAGTTTAATTCTATTTTATTCGACGAAATTTCAATGAAAGCGGAGCCAAGTCTTTAATCAGTGAATTATTGAAAAACGATGCATGCACGTTGCGATGATGAGACAGACAATCTTTCGTTTTAAGAAATGGCACACGTGACAAGATACCACCTACTACTACCTGCAGTTACCAGATGATCTTTTGTATAACGGAATTTGTGAAGAAGAATTAGGGTGGTACATTAAAGACCATTAGGTCGACGCGTTAAATGAGGCGAACGCTATTACTCTTACGTTCTCTCCGCTGAACGAAGGAAGGAGAAGGTTCCTCCTCCTCTGACCAGCCCCTGCTGCTCGTTTTCGCGACTACGTGTGAAACAGCCAAGTGCAACCTAGCGTACAAAGTCAAGTGGAATTATTAACCTACTTCTCATATGCATTTTACTTCGTTTTACGATTTTACAACTAACCAAAAAGTCCCACCTAAATCCAACTTTGCTACCATTGTTTAAACGTATAAACAACAATATAAAGAATAATATTAGTAGTCTGTACTACCGAGACTATTCGTTTTGCCTTATAAAAAGCAAAATCGAATAGGAGGGGGTTAGAGAGAAGGTTGGTTAGTAAAAAACAGCTAGAAAACAACAAAAGATTTCTTATCGATCGGCTACTACATTCGTAAAACTTTCGAATAGATTCGAGAGAATCGTTTCAACGAGAATTCCTTTGGTAAAGAGGAATTACCCAAAAAAAGAGAACAAACAAATAGAGGAGACATTTTGTCGTCGTCAGCTGCCTGCTAAATAGTGCAAACCAAACAACAGCAACAAAAGAACAACATTAATTCACGTTTATGCGACACTTTAATCGAACTTTACGAAAAAACAATTGTCATCGAGAATACGTTGATATATTAGGGAAAAAAACAAATGATCTACGAAAATTTGAGAAAAAAAAGAAAAAAAAGAAAAAGAAGAAAATTTAGTTGGTCGTATGATGTCTCGCTTTAGAAACTCGTAACGATCCTCTCGTCTCCTTGACTATTTTCGTTCTGACGAACAATGTCACTCGCAGATCGTTACGCGAGTTCCCTTTCCTCCTTCTTCTCCTACTCTTTTTCACGTTCTCACGCTCTCTACTTCTCTACTCCTATTTATCTATCTTTCTCTATATCATCCGTTTGATTCCGATAATAACCATTATCGGCTTGTTAATTACGCGATAATTACGTGTACGTTCTATCAACTTGATGTTTCATTACAGGAACTCGATACTCGAATCATCATCGGCAGTTTCTCACCAGAACTAGCACCCCATATATTTTGCCAGGTAAGTTATCTTCTTTTAGGTTATTTCGAACTTGAAAAGTAACTTTTATATTCTAATAAAAAGATGATAAATATTTAATCTGCAGTTATAAGGAAAAAAAAAGTGCTAATTACTATAGAACTTACATGCATTTGCATTTAATATGGGAGGGTATGCAAACATTGTCAAATTAATGATTTGTTTTTTTTTCTAAGATTTTATTACTAATTTTCTACTAGCACAAACATGTACATTCACAGTATCGTTGTCACAGTAGAACTTTACGAGTTTAATCAGCCATCTAGGTAAGTTCTCAAAGCGTTATCAAAGCGTTATCAAAGCGTTATCAAAAACGAAACTTTTGCTATAAGGATTAATATGAAAGACAAGATCTTGTACAAACTTCTAGATATTATTTAACAAAACGACATTTTATTTCATCTATTTTGAAAAATACGCTTTTTCAAAGCCTGACATTAAATTGTTAAAAAAAGAAAAGAGAGAGAGAGGGAGAGAGAAAAATAAACCACACCATCAAACAGGATTGCATTCCTTTAAAGTGGACAATCTTTTGAAACAAGTGAGAGAGAGAGAGAGAGAGAGAGTGTGTGTGCTTTTAAGTTTCTTTAAAAACGTAATGGTTTCCGCGCGCGTTTGAAAGGGATGTAGAATAAAGATGTTTCTCTTAAGAGATATCTTCTTCCTATCTCGAAACTCTGAACGAACTTAACTGTGCGCATCTCCGTGTGAACGCGATAAACAGTCGATGAAATAGAATTTCTTCAATATATATATATATTTCTCAAATAGATCTCAAAGATCGATTTGCTAGATCTATCTTATCTTGGTCAAGCTTCAAAACGATCCAACAAACAGATGGTCGATGTTCATCGAGTGCCATTACGTTAAGTAATATCTCTAACGGGTTTTCCTGTCACTCGAACTAATCGATTCGGCCATTGGTTTTTTTCAATATTTAAATAGCCCCTTATTATTCTCATATTCATGAGAGAGAACACTTTTGAATACTTTTTCAAATGTATCATATTTTTCTCTTTGTTCATAATACGAAAAGAAGAATGATGAAAAACATATTGACGTGTCCACAATCTCGAAAGAATAACTTATCGTTGTTTTTTTTTTTTTTTTTTAATACTAACAATACTAACAATACTAACAATATTACGATCACATCGAATTGGAATACAAACGAGTGTCAATATAAAAAATTAAATGATAAAAAGCTAGAACCGTTGAGAGATCAAAATATGCACAATTTCATTCGACGATAATTCATTCTATATTTAATTATTAAGGTTTTTTATTACTATCAATGCGACAATCGAGTAATTTTATTACACAATACAAATAACAATTATATGAAAATAAAAAATGTTATCGATATATAATAAGATATTACTTACGCTTACACTTACACTTTGATCGAAACAAACAATAAAATCAAATCAAATCAAATGAAATAAAAAGTAACATTGCAAATATTATTTTATCTGATGAAGAAAAGTCAGGAATTATTACATAACATATAATAAGATTCAACTTGGAAGTTCTTGAATAACTTGAACTCTGTTAATCTCGACAATGAGAAATTGTCAAATCTGGCCTATATATTTTTGTTATCACTTTGACTACTTTCCTTTCCGTTGAAGTGCAAAGTAAAGAAAGAAGATCCCGATTTACGACAAAGTGGAAGAGTCCGATACCGTGAAACGATGCTCGCCTATCGATTTTTTCATTCGCCTTCTTTTCCCCTTCTTTTTCTCTTTTTTCTTTTCTATTTTACTTCTTTCTATTTGGTTCGGGGCTTTCGGTTAAAACTACTATCACTTGCTACGAATCGAATTATTTTTCACCAGAGAGTGAGACTTTTTTCCTTTTAATGGATCGAAGTAAAAAAACGAGTTTTCGGTTTTTCTCTTTTTTTCTTTTTTCTTTTTTCTTTTTTTGGAAATCATTAAAACGCGACAGAGTTTGTAATAACGAATGGAAGAACGTATGTGGGAATGTAAAATAGAAAGAAAATAGAAAATAGAAAGAAAATAGAAAATAAATGTAACGTTTGACACAATGGTTGTGCATGTAATGCGCGTTTGATTGGTCGAGACGAGAATAGATTGACTTTTTTTCCAATTAATTCTTTTTTTATCTTTTTTCTTTTGAATGTTTATATTTTTCCGAATTGTTACACATTTGTACAACATTGTTTTCCCTTTTTTTTTTTTTTTATGCAATATGGGATATTTCAGTTTGAAGCGAGAAGTTGTACCTTTTAATACACTTACGTTTTAATATCGATTGCCGTTGCTTTTAAAAGTAGTTAAAGGTCGGCGGCGTTGGTTAAAAGAAAAGACAAAAATAAATGGAAGAAAGACGGAAGAGGGTAGGGTAGCTCTATTTCTTCTTGATGTCATTTCTCGTTATACCGAAGATAGCGTCCTACTGTCAAACAAGATTTTCATTAATAATGCGACAATCCGTCTGCCATTTCTTCAATCAGACAATAATTTCACTTGATCTTTCTATTACGTTTCTCAATTGTGACATGTTACATCGAAGATTAATCAAAAGAAAAAAGCCGATTGCCGGATATTAAAGTCAAATAAATGCAATAACGAAAAGAAAGAGAAGTAGAATTTTTGAACGTGTTTAAGAACAGGGAGACAAAAAGTTGTCAAGAAATATGAAAAAGTGAAAACATCCAAAAGAAAAGGTAGGAAACAGGTACAGTTAACTGTACAGGTACTCAAGAAAATTGGATTTCGCTAAAAGAACTGTCCAAAGCTGTTATGAAAATAACTCCGGGTAATTTCAAGAGAAAAATGTTGAAGAGAGTTAAATAAAAGATAGTAGAACAATTAATAATCCATATTGCTTTGTATTGTCTTCCTTTGTTTCCAGGCTTGGAAACTTGGTATGCTCGATGGGGATTACGCTTGGATTCTACCAGGTGACACCATGAACCAGTTTGAGGGGCCTAACGATTACATACCCTCCGGACCTGAGGAATGTACAACATCTCAATTGATGCAACCTTTAGATGGGGTGATCATAGTTAAAAGTCATGATTATACTCTTAAAGGAGAGGTCAGCTATTCCGGTTTGGTAAGATTTCATGAAAAACTAATCAAATCTTTATCTATTTCTTCTGTTAAACTTGAAAATAGCTTAAATTGTCGATTAAGGCTAAAGGTTCACTTATAGTTAGCCAAGCTTCGGTATGGTATACTTATATGGTTACTTCCGATCAAAGTTAAAACCCCATTGTTTTCTCAGCTTACGATCACGAGGATTACACTATATTGTAGATAGTAAGTGAGTAAGAAAATGGTTAGAGAGAGAGGTATAATAATATAGAGGGGTTAGGTTTGTATACTCTTTGTTATGGATACATAATAATCGTAAACTCTTGAAGGGAAGCGAAGACGGGAATAAGCCCGAGAATAGAAAGCTAGTTTGCAGCTGGTTCTTGCTTTTACCATTGTCGAGGCTACTAAGAAATGAACTCCCTGTCATCCCATATTCTTGATTCAAGCGAGCATCGCACGACTTGAGAAAGAGAATGCTTGCAATATCTTACCGACATTCCCAATATCTACCCACAATTATTTCTCATACTCTGATATTAATCAACTAATGAAAACTAGAATGAAAAAAACCTTCAATCTAGCTAGATTTCAATGAAATGAAACAAAAATAATAGGCCGTTTATTTCGTAAGAGTTCTACTTTAAAGTACACTCATTTCTTAATATTTATCGGTTGACGCATTAAAATTCAAATAAAACGTGAAACTCTATTGTCTTATTTTATGATTGCGTCGCCAACGGCACACGTACACTATGACTGCTCTTTTAATATGTGCGTCACAGGGCACGTTTTTTTTTTTCTTTTTTTTTTTATTTTAACTGTGCCTTCGCCCATTTCTGAAAGCCGAACATTTCGCGTAGGCAGCGAATGGCCGACTTTTGCTATGTTTCAATTGTCGTCGTCGTCGTTCTTTTCTCTCTCCAATGCCGAAATATTTCAGAAAAGAAAAAAAAAATAAGCCCGGGCACTTCTCTTCTTTAAACCATTCCGCTTCGTGCGTCGATGTTTCTCAAGGACGTAAAAAGAAAAGAAAAAGAAGAAAAAAAGGACAAATAAAAAGGGAAGAAAAGCTTTATCTAAGAAACAAATAAATGTAAATAATTACATGGTAGAAAATACGAAGCCACATAGACGACGGTGAAATAATAACTGTAAACTCAACTCACTCGTACGCTCTATTTAATTAACTTCAATGTGGACAATAAGTAATTAAAAAAGCCAACAAATGAAAATAATGTTGTTAAATTATGCTAGCATGTGTTAAATTTAGCACACATGGTGTAAGTTGATTTAGAGATAGGTCAATAACATCATACAGTATTATCTGGGCACACTGTGTATACCTACATTCATTAATACTAATTGTTTAAAGTTTATTATGTATTTTTACTTATCATGATATAGTATTTAAACAATCGTATATGCTGACTATTGCAATTCCCTTGGTCTAACCGAATATTGGAGTGACAGAAGATCGTTACACAAATTATCTTAGATGACGATTGACAATCTTAATTTATTCAATCATAGTAAATGATTTCAAATAATGTGATTATCCATAAGACAAGAATTTGTTGGCCATACGATAATCAATTTCCGAAATTTGGTCGCTTTCAATTCCCCAGGATTTGCATTTATTAAAGCGACTTGTAACATTAAAGTAATTCTATAATAATCCAAATAGACATTGAAATTTATCAATGTATTCAATTAAACATATTTAGCATATCAAATTTGCATAAACATTAGAAACAGATTTGTTTCATAAAACGATCTATAACACATAATGTGTAATATGCAAACCTTAAAGGGAATATATCATTGGTATTTCTAAGTATCTAATCGATTTGATGAATCATGTTTAAACAAAATTCTGAATCATCTATTTATTTAACAATAAATAATCTCATATTTTTCACAGACAAGCACAGAATTTATATCGGAACTCGCTAAACGAGGCGTAGCATCTTCCAAATTTGCTGCACAAACGTACGATGCTGTCTGGGCAATGGCATTAGCATTGGATAAAACTGAGACTGAATTAAATGAAATGAACATGACCATGGCTAAATATACCCATCAAAACAAGACTTATGCTAAATATTTGCTCGAACAACTTAAAATCTTACACTTTATCGGTGTTTCGGTAAGCATATCAGAAATGGTTGAATGTCTATGAAGAGAGAAATTACAAAGAAAAAAAATCAATCGTACGAGGACATTGGCTTAGTTCGTTGGATGTATTCCTCGAGAAATATACACTATCCATCATTTCTATGTAGCAAAAAGAGGAGGGTTTATTAGCTTAGCGGTGATACGTCGATATATCGCGAAAGTAGTGGAACGAAAGTAGTTGAAGGAAAGTAGTTGAACGAAAGGAGTTTCCCTTTGACGACGCTTTTGCTTTTAGGGGCCGGTTTCTTTTGACGGCGCGGATCGTGTTGGAATCACCGCCTTCTACCAAAGGCAGGGTAAGTTAAAACGCTAGATTAATCTTGATACATTCCCTTTACACCCTGCTAACGCACATAACTAAAAAAGAGAGAGAGAGAGAGAGAGAAAGCAGTGCTTATTCCAAGGTTAAACGTTGTCCTAAAAATTCCTTACGAACTACCTACTACCACGTGTTGCACTTTTTTTTCTTTCATGCCCCTTGCATTGCTGCTGCGATGAAAAAAATGTAATATTCTAAGCACTTTTATCTGCAAAAAGAAAATAAAAGAGAATACTAATTGTAATCTAATATTCATGATGATACATACGAGTAAAATAGTGTTATATTGATAATTAGTGATGCGCGTGTTGCGAGACGCATATACATGCCTAAAGCTGAGTAGAAATTGTCAGCAATTATCTACGCGTAATACTATAATAAATCGGATATCCTCTCTACATATCGTGGCTAACTGACACGTAAACGCTCGGATGATTCCATTTATGAGATTTCTATTGTGAAGTACACATCCCAACGATTTTCACGCTATATATCCGTTACGATAAAAGCACATTCGTTTATAACCGATATGTCGTAAAAGCTTACATATAAAGCTTCATAGAAGATCATGTTGCCTACTTACATCAGAGTTTCTTCAAAAAAAGAACAAACATTTCTCGAAGAAAATGAGAAAGTTAACTCGTGCTATATCATCGATTTATTCCACCACATCAAAGTACAAATTATTATTATTATTTTATTCTTCTTTTTCATTAACTCGATTTACATGATTGGTAAGTGGCCGTGGTAAGTGTTTTGGGAGGTTGTTTAGGATTGATAGGGAGTTTTTTCCCAATCAAGTATGAATAGGGTTTTCTATTCATTGTGTTGATGGATCCATTATCTGGATTTAATTGTTGTTTCTATTTTTGTCGCTATATAGAAACAACATTCATCCATTTCGTTTATCCACTGCATACACTATCTCAGTTTTCCCGTCTTTATTGTTAATGGTCAATGATTGTAATATCTTCGAAGCACTTTCAACATATACAACTTGGAATTGTTGTGTGCTGTTTTGTGTTTGTATGGTTAGATTTGATTCGAGGGTGTGTTCGTCTACACAACAATCGCACCCTACAATCGCACAATGTGCGTACCCCACAAGCTGTGCCCTTAAAACATGGCCTGATGATGAATCTCAGAAAGGAGTCCTATACGTTTTCTAATTGTTTTCTTTCTCCATCTTTCCTAGATTTTCCTTTTAGTCGCCTCTTACGACAAGCAGGAATTACTCTGAGGGCCTTTATTATTATTATTATTAATTAATCATGTTGTTTTGTAACTTATTGTAAATTAGATTTTTCTTTCCTAAAATAATGCTAAAAAAAACTCATTAAATTTGACGATAGAGAAAAATCTGTTGAAAAATCTTTTGAAAAAGTCGCAAATTAATGATGTTATCTCAACGACGATCATTTCTATCGCAGAAAATAATGAACTAAAAATGATAATATTTAATGATAATGATCGTCGAACTCGTAATTAGGAAAATCCCCTTACAGTCTCGATTACCTCGATTTTGTATGGAAATTATGGAAATTGCACATTTAACTGTCATCAACTAAAATGCAGATTACCATATTTTCCAATCAAATAAAGTTCATTGATTTACTTTGATACGATTATGCAGAGAACATAAAAAAAAATGTATTTTCCAATTGAAATACATACTTTCGTCAATAAAATTTCGATGTAAATTTCGTTATTCGATTAAAATCGGTGAAAGATACCTAAGTGACAAAATGCAGCAACAGCAAAATATAAATGAACAAAATCGCATGAAATAATTGAATCGACTAAAGCGAGCTTGAAAATACAGGCAAATCCGATGATGAATATCCAATCAGTTTAGTATAACAAAAAGGGAAATAACCACGAGAACAAATTCAACATTGGACTCTATTAATTTTTCCGATAGCAAGCCGATCAAGTTGCGCATAATATTTATCGCCGCGGTTCAATTAATGAGTCTTTCTTTACCAGTTCTTCCTTCATTTTCAAAGAAATTGCCGATAACGTGAAACGTTATATTTTTCTATATAAAAGTCATATTTTTCTGTATAAAATATGCATTACGATATTTTAATTTACTAACACCAACATACATTTTGATTAACATTTGTCTCACATTTATAGAATGGGATTATATAAAGAAGTTCGAATGATTTTTGTTTAACTTCATTTCCGATCTTAGCTAATAACTAAAAGTTTGCGAATCGTTTGCGAAAACGTAGACGGTTAGGGTGATCTCTAACGATTTGTACAAGTTGAAAAGTAGAGGCCGTAAGGCATTTCCGATATAAAGGAGATCGCGAACTATAAAACGAAAAAGGAGGAGGATCATCGTAGGATGGAAGCGAACGGGGCCAAAGATACTTGGCATTCTAACTACTGGATATTGGCAAAGCGATGATGAATAATTAATCGAAAGAGAAGTTCCCTTGGGAAAACGATAGGCAAGATAAAAGGTTAAGATAAAAGGCAAGATAAAGAGATATCTCGTGTGATAGAGATAAAAAGAGATGGTAGAAGATAGATAGCGTTGGTCAATATTACTGTTCTCTCGAAGAATTTCAAATGTTTGTGTGTTCGTGAAAGATAAACGGAAACGGATTGACGGTGAAACTAGTGTCAAATTTAGACGACCATTTACTTCCTGTCTCGAAATCGAATTAAATTCGACGCTGATAAATGCATCGTAGCGAATACGAGAGCACGTTGACTATAATCGGATTTTTATACATCCGAACGCGTATAACATAATGAAATAATAAAATGAATTTCGGTGGACGATGCGACGGCGAGAGGAACCAAAAACATTGTCGCATTTTCAAACCGATTAATGTTTAAAGAACATTTATAAGAAGAAGATTATTCTTGAGAAAGTGGACAAAATCTGTGATAAAAATAAATCAAAAGAAAATAGGAGCAGGTGCTCACGACTATATATTTATGAAATTTACGACAATGGTCGAAAGGTCAAGAAGAGAGGAAGAGAGGAAGAGAGAGGTCTTCTCTTATTCGTAAGAAACAATCCCGATGCATAATTTGAGTGAACCCGACAGCATTGGAATGCTTATGGTAGTACGCCAAGTATTCATGGTGAAATAATAGGTGGAAGGGAGGTAGGGGGACTATATAAGTGCATTCTGCGCATGCAAAGACGTCTAGGAAAATGTATGACCATCGATAAAGAAACGTAACGTATGTCCTTTGGTATCTCCTATAATATCACGATAAATAGTTGGAGACATATGGAAAAGAAGGGCCCGCCCATTAATTCGACGAGATTTCATAGTCTTGTTTACTGGTACAACCCGATCGATCACAAGTGAAAAGAAAAGAGAACAACGAGAAGAGCGAAACAGCAAACCGTGTCGAAAAATCGAGGCCGCGATTCATTACTTTCTTTGTCTCCACTCAATTGTCTCTCTCTCTCTCTCTCTCGGTCGACGAAAAATCAAGCTGGACTACTGGAGAATCGTACAATCTCTTAAAAGCTTCGACAACAAATTCTGACGTGTATACCTTTCTCTATTCCTATTTAAATCCTTATCTTTCCCAAGACTTTGATACGGATAGATCAATATTCCGGATATTCAAATATACCGGAGAAGGAAATATCGATTCGATGATCAGCAAATCTTTCAAGATTCCCTTAGGATGATATCCAAAGTTAAAAAAAGAAAAAAACAAAATAGAAAGAATGATATTTCCTGTGACATTACGACAGAGTTCTTTTCATTCGTTGTCAACATTTTCGACACCCTCACGACGTGGATGAACAAGTGGATGAACAAGTGCATGAACAGCCTTAACCTTTACGAGTTTTACAAACACTGCTAACATTTTCTTTTACTCCTATTTTGTATCTATTGTAATTCTATTGTGTAATGAACTGGTCAGGAATTTAGTTTGACCCATGTCTTTCGACTGAGAGATTGGATATATTTCTGTTGTTCCTTTTTTTTAATTGTTCCACCTATCCGATTGAGGAGGTCTTACGTTCGTCGAATTGTATCGAACGATCCTACGGCTATAATCCATCAAATAGCATGTCGAAGGGTGGTGTCATTGGACCTTTCCGATGAGATACACTTCGAGAACGCAAACCCCAAAGGCAAAAAAGAATAAAAGGGAAAGAGGAAAAGAAGGAAAGCAAAGTTTGGACATATTTTTTCTGACAATACTGATAAATCGTATGACAGAAAGTTGATATCTTGTAACAATACTGATCTTGTGACCTAAAAAGTCTACTACACAGAATACAAAAAATGATAAGAAAATAGTAAACTAAAGTTTGACTCCCCTCTTCATTAGACATTAATGAAGGCATTTTGTGTTGGTATAGCAACGTTTCATTATTCCAATCATTTTAACATTATCTTCTGACGCTTCTTTAATGAAAGAGAAATAGAGAGGAGAGAGAGAGAGAGAGAGAGGAGAAAGTTATAAAGAGAAAAAAAAGACAAGACAAGACTTTGACGGGAAACCCTTTGTCGAGATATTTTTTTAGAAAGTTTATTTACCGTAAGAGCTTGCACCAACAACAATGACAAAAAAAAAAGGGAAAAAGGGAAAAAGGGAAAAAGGGAAAAAGAAAAAACAAAGGCGTATAACAGCAAAAATATAAAGCAAATGTGTACAATGTTAGATGTTACTTAGGGAAGAAGAACAAAAAAAGGAAATAAACTTTTTCAAATAGAACCGAGAAGTTGTGAGAAAAAGAGAAAGAGGGATGCGTACTATTGCATATCTGAATACGTCATGTAAAGAAGTTCGCACGAGTCCTTTCCTGTCACACGTTTGTCAAGGGAAATTACCTGTTCCATGTACCCAGTCGAAAAATGTTACGAATAAAGCTTTCTAGGACGCGAAAGTAAAGGCGCTTGGATAAATAACTTTTACAATGATTCAATTTGATTGTAACAAAGTGTCACGTCATTTTGTCACGTCATTTTGTCACGACAGGGAGTAGCTATTATTTTTTTAATATGTACTTCTCCTCTCTGAAATAATTCATTTTTCTCTTTTTTTTTTTTTATATATATATAGAAATAAAAAGTTGGACAAATTATGATAGGAAGAAGGGGAAAAAAAAGAAAAAAGAAGGAAAAAGAAAGTTCAGGAAAAGAAACAGAGGTAGGAAACAAGTTAAATTCCAAGTTGAGAAAAAAGTTTTGCACTCTTTGTATCGAAGCATATTTTATGAAATCGAGTGTAGACAAAAGGATGATTACAAATGAAAGTCAAAATCTTTCTTTTATGCTTTCGGAATAAAGTTCATGCTTTTTACATTTTTTTTTTTTTTTGTTAATAAAAAGAAAAAAGAGATCGGTAAAAATTCTTGAAACAATGATGATCGATATAAAATATTTTTTTGTTTTTTAAGTGACATCGATGACAAATAAACCCCAAAGTAATTTCGTTTAATGATCCCCAGTTTGCGAAGGACTCTTAAAATGGTCCATAAAGAACAGATAAGAAGAAGGAACGTTTATATACCAATGCGAGATGTTTTTCAGGATGCATAGTGAATCGTTTTAATGTGTGGTTAAATATTTTTTTCAAAGATTCATCATAAAATACGGAGGGCGATTTATTCTAATTTTTATTTTTATCCTTCGATTCTTGTCGCCTATCTTTTTTATATTTTTTATTATTAAATTTTCTCTCTCTCTCTCTCTCTCTCTCCCTCTACTGTTTTACGATCTAACGATTCAGGAATCAAAGTCATCAAATGATCAGTAAATATAAAAGTACGAAAGATATCAATAATTTATTCGAATCTCATAATACGCTCGAAATCGTTTCGAGGAGAGTTTTACGGCGAAAGGAGGAGGAGGAGGAGGTGGATGAGGTGGAGGATTCATCGACGTGGACATTGCCGAGCACTTTTACGACTTTAATTTTGTCATCTTTTCAGCAGATACATAGATATATATCTGAGAAATCTATCAGCACAGATAGATAAGCACTGACATAGGTATGAGGATTAGAAAATGTAAAAAGAAAATGAAAGAAAATAAAAGGGAATGGGAAAAGTCATCGAACGAGAAAAGGGAATTAAAGTCTCAAAAATCCTGTTCGAGTTAGCTAGCCTTTTTGACATCTCTAAAGCTCTTTGCACGAAACGAAACCAATTATCTTGAATTCGTGCTCGACTAGCACAAGATCCGATCGCAACGATGAAACCTGAATCCCTCTAAAATGATTGCACCAACTCGTTCGTTCGTTCGTCCGTTCGTTCGTCCGTTCGTACGTAAAGAATACGAGATTCAATTCGCCATAAAGAAACGAAACGACGATTATTGTCGATAGGATGGATATTTTTTTGCGTTCAATCACCGAAAGGGATAATAATAATTTTTCAATTGAGATATATCATCCTATGACATTGTTTCTATCTTTTTCTCTGTTCTTGTATTTTCTAATAACAAATTGTATAGCAAGGTAGAACACGTTACGATGGCCGATTATCGTTGGCTTTCAGTTGCTATAAAGCAGAGGCACAATTGCCGCAATAATGTTTCGAACGATGGAACACCGGGCAATAACGAATTTATGATTAGTTACTGGCGTTATTGCCCTGATCCACGAGTAGTATATACGTATACGTGATAGGTATAGTTACATGTGCTCAACTCTGCACTACCTATATGCAAGTAGTACTAACCTACATGCTTAGAATAAAAAATAGTATGAAGGATGATATCGATCCAATGAAAGTTTTCTTGTTATAGGTCATCGTAGTAGAAAGATAGCGATCTTCACTCCGGAGGATGGGAAACTAATAATGAACTGCCCAGAATGCGTTGCTACAAGATGGCCCGGAGGACATCCGCCTGCAGCTCGTAGGATTTATCGGTAGTAGTATCACTTTTCGATGATGTTACGTAGTACAACATTTCAAACTAATTAAACGATTCTCATTTTGTTTGATTAGAAGAAGATTTGTTAAAGGAATACTATTTCTTGAAAGGAAAGTAAGAGGATAATCTCTGAATAATCATGCGAGATCGGATGAAAAGTTTTCTTCCAAGTATAATGAGTCAATTTCGATGCTACACTAGCATTTAAACTTCGCATATCTCTCTTTCTCTAAAAGAGAGAAAGCAAAGAGGTCGTCATAGCAAGTAGAGCGAGGAATTTCAGGAGATTATCCTCCTACTCACTTCGTGCTCGTGTAAAATGTCAAGCAAAACGTTTATATATACAAATATACCTATATACCACTGCTATTTATCCTTGGTGTATACATAAATCATGATTCAAGTTGACTCTTTCGTCGTGGTTGGTTGGTTGGTTGGTTGGTATCTTGAGATACCACGAAATTCTAGTTTGTTGACTATAATTTATAATATGTCTTATAGAAGATCGACGTAATCGTGAAATATTCAACAACCCTAACGATCCATCCAGTCACGCGACATTTTTATATGAAATTTGAACACAACTTTACGATAGTGTCATTTTGTATGCAGGTTAAGAGTGGTTACAGTAGCACCTGCAGCTTTTCTCGCGGTCACTTGCTTGGCAAGCATCGGAGTTGCCCTGGCAGTTGCATTTCTCGCATTTAATCTTCATTTTCGAAAACACAAGTAAGCCTCTAAGATCTATAATGTTTCGTAAACGTCGGAAAACAAACAAATGGAATTATAAGTAAACACATGTATGCTCGCAGAAGTATTAAACTATCGAGTCCCAGACTAAATAATATGGCTGCAGTTGGTTGCTGTCTCGTTTATGGTGCGGTTATACTACTTGGACTTGACAATGCAACACTCCCCAAAAGCCATGATTATTTTCCATCCGTGTGCACCGTGAGCATCACTTTTCTACAAACATCTCATTTATTTCCAATCAATTCATTGTTATATTTTCCTTCATAGGCAAGAGTTCTTCTATTATCAGCTGGATTTTCTTTGGCTTTCGGTTCCATGTTCACGAAAACCTATAGAGTTCATAGGATCTTTACAAGAAGCAGAAGTGGAGTCGTCAAAAATAAGGTTCGAGTCGATTTCTAATTTCATGTAGAAATTGAAATGCATAATAATATGATCTTATAATTCAAATATAAAACGGAAAGAATAGATATTCCTTTCACCTTTTCTCTTGGATGGTTCTAAAGCGATTGATTCGATTAAATCCGATGTATAGAATAAACCACACGTTTTAAGAGAGGAAAATTCATACAATTAATGTTTATCTTTTGAATTAACAAAAGGCTCTTCTCTCTTTTTCTATCGGCAAATAAAATCAGTGTTAGCATCCATTGATTTTATAACTTGGGCTTGCAATCATTATACATATGTTACAAAAGTTGAAGATAAACTAGAACCATATTAGAATAATTAAATAAAATAAATAAAAATGATCGATTTTGATCTTACAAGAAGTAATATTATCTGCTATGATTCATGGACGAGGTAAATTTATGATTCCTAGCTGCTACAGGATACTCAACTGATAAGCCTAATTTGCATACTGCTCGTGATCGACGGCCTGGTGGTGACACTCTGGGTGACCTTGGATCCAATGCAACGTCATCTGCGTAACTTAACCATAGAAATGAATTTGCAAGATCGTGGCATCATCTATCAACCACAGGTATAGGAAAATCTCTGAAAAGTACATAAACGTAAACGTAAACGTAAACGTAAACGTAAACGTAGGCAAAATCTTTCAAATGATTTTCCTACGAAGGAACAAGATGCAAGTTCCAGTGGTGTCCCAAAAGTAGCCGCAATAACGCTATTCGTAATTACCTTTAACGATCCGTAACCAATTAACTCGTTGCCTTTGCTTCTTCTTCCACGTAGGTGGAGGTATGTCGTTCACAGCACACTAATGGCTGGCTGGGTGCACTTTACGTTTATAAAGGCTTGTTACTCGTAGTCGGTGTCTACATGGCCTGGGAAACAAGGTAAGCTTTCAGTACAAAGATTGTCGGGATCGAATTAATCCATATTTTTCGATTTATTCTTCTTCTTCTTCTTCTTCTTCTTCTTCTTGTTCTGTACTTTTTGTGTATGAATAGATTGATTTAAAAAACACTTAGGATGAATCTAAGTATTAACCGGATGTAATAATTGTCGCTATTTCGAGCGGAGATTTAATCGCTCGCAGAGAATGACGAGCGTACTATGGAGAAATAATCCGTAGCAATTTAGCTAATTAATTACATTGTTCAACGATGGTATCAACTCCAAATGGGATAGAATTGTACGAAATGTGTGCCACTATAGATAAAGATAAAAACAATGGGATATTATTCGGCCTCTTTAAGGTAAATTCGTATTTCCTCGTTGAAAACTGCTATTAACGTTTTGTGAATGCATCCGAGAAAATGGAAAATTTAATGAAACAATTCAAATGCTAACTGTAATCTATACACAGACCAACACGTTTTCTACACGCTATTTTTGTCACGAGTCAAAAGATTATGACAATTTTCAAATTTAATGGCCAGCAAAAATTCTAAATAAAAATAGGAAAATAAATATTTGAACGATTGGTAGGAGAAAAAAGGCGTGTTTTGTGATAGACTTAGAAAAATCTAATAGACGAAAGGAAATAGAGGAAAGAAATTCGATCGTAGGGTAGAAGGTAGAAGGTAGAAGATAGAAGGTAGAAGGTATATCGGAAATGCAGAAGACGTATAGGAAGTTTCCTTGAACGATTCGAGTGACAAAGAAAATCGCTCCTAGTAGTACGATTCGAATCAAACGAGATTATAAAGGATTCTCTCTCGGAATTCATACTTTTAGAGAAAGACAAGATATTTCACGTAACCGAATCGAATCGAATCGAATCGAATCGAATCGAGAAATATCTCAAAATATAAAGTTGAAAAAAAAAGAAGGAAAAAAAACAGAGAGAGAGAAAAAATAAGAGAAAATTCTTTTCAGACACGTGAAGATACCAGCTTTGAACGATTCGCAGTATATTGGCATGATCGTTTATTCGGTAGTGATAACGTCTGGTATCGTGGTCGTGTTAGCAAATTTGATGTCCGATCGAGCAACCTTGGCCTTTGTCACGATCACTGCCCTGATCCTGGCCTTGACAACGGCAACTTTAGCCTTGCTCTTTCTACCTCAATTGACAACCATTCTAGCTGGAGAAAGAGCTGATCCTGTTGTACAGAGTCTCGGCTTGAAGATCGAATGCAACACAAGGAGATTTGTCACGGACGATAGAAGGTAAGGGAGCTTGCATTTCTTGCTTTTCTCGAAATCGAATTTAAAGAAGAGACTGGTGAAAGATGGAAAAGCCTTTAGATAGGAGGAAACGGGTAGCTAAGGCGACGATAAGAAATCAATTGTAACGTTAGCCAAGTACACACACAATTGGTCTTAAAGACAATAAACGTTATCGCATTCGACTTAACTCGAATCGACGAGTTCGTACGAAAAAAGAAAATAGCGTATCGGATTTGGCAAATAAACAAAACAAAAAAACAAAAATCCAACTCCCTTTCTTTTTATTTTCTTTCTTCCTATATTTTCTTGTTTTCATATTCTCTTTTTTTCTGTTGGCCTTTATTTGAAGCCTCGAGGAATGTCGATCAATTGATCGCTTGATCAAAGAAAACGATGCCCTTTCTTCGAAACGTGTCCCTTCTTTCCATGCAAATCAATGGAATAGGAAATAACAGTGCCTGGCCTCGTTTGATGCAATTAACGTGATTCCGCAGAGAGCTACAGTATCGAGTAGAGGTGCAGAATCGAGTTTACCGTCGCGAGATGGCTCAGTTGGAGCTAGAGTTGGCCAGATTGGAAAAGCAGTTGGCCCAAGAACCGGTCGAACCATCTCACGCTTCTTCCAGTACTTCGATTCCACAACGAAATCCGAGTATCGGGGGTGGCTTACCGTTATTGTTACTCAGCGTTCTCCCATCGGTTATTCCGAGGGCCAGTTGGCCGTCCGCCGATCCTTCCGGTAAGAAACGATACTAACAAATTTATCTTTATCGGGACTTAGTCGTGCAAAAAACAACAACAACAACAACAAAGAAATTAACAAAAGAAAAAAAAAACATATTTTGCACGATGAGTCTGACTCATTTCGAGCAGAGAAGGAAGGAATCAACGTTTATATTAATGCTTTCTCGCTTCGTTCGTTCCTCCGCCATTCAGGTGTCAGAGAAAGGTGATGGAATTTCGTTTATTGCACGTAATGCTTTTATAACGAAAGCCTATGTTCACTTGCTTGACGTTACGACACATAAGAAGAGATGTCCGTAAAACGATGACGTCGTCGTCGTCGTCGTCGTCGTAACGTGTTTCAATTTTTAGAGTAGAAACAATGAGACTTTTTCAAGCTCGTGGACGTCCGAGTATGCATGAAAAAACGTTACATTTTTTTATTGATTTTTTTTTGTTCTCATATTTTTTTGTCCCTTCCTTCTTTGTTTCTTTCCTTTTTGTTCTCTCTCTCCCTCTCTCTCTTTGACCCTCATTTTTATGATAAATCGAAGAGGGACCGTGTTTTTGGCAGCTCCACTTTCCATCATTCGTACTCGTTACATTAACGACAGATTGCACATTATCCAAATAGGGAATTTACAAATCCTCCAAACAAGTAAGCAGCTGCATTACGTAGGTCTATTTTATTGTAATAATACGAATAACCCGTTCATACTTGTCAAAATGTAAGTGTTGTGAAAAATCGTTCGAAAAGGAAGAAGAGAAAAGAAAAAGAAGCTTGAGAGAATAAACGAAAGACCGGCTAAGTTATTTCCTTAATATATCATCTTGGATATCGCTCTCGTTAATATTTCAAAAAAGTCTACATCTAAGAAATTTCGTCGTACGTTGTTACCTCAAGGGATCGTACCTCTTCTATGAGTACAAACATCCAAGTTGTAGCAAGGAGAAAATTGTGCAGTGTATTATTTGCATGTCAGATGCTCTTACATGTCGGATACATCCGTCATGCATGACTCATGCTCATTCTCATCGCTTATCTCTTTTTTTTCTTATCACTTGCCCTTTCTTTTTTCGAACTTGTCCTCTTCTTCTTCTTCTTCTAACTACACTTGTAAATTAATTCGATCATTATACAGCATGAAATTGCAACAGTTTCTTCATTTCTCTCTCTCTCTCCCTCTCTCTCTCTCTTGTACACTATTTATGCTTCTTGGGCAAACCTACAAATTGGTTTAGCAGCATCCCTTATACGTTATCGTAAAAAACAACATTTAAGTTTGTTTCTATGAGATATCGATTGACATCTGGGTCAACAAATAGCAATTTTTCCAAGTAATAGCAAAACATATTCGTGAAAAGAATCGTATCTGTTACGCGTCGGTTGCACGTTTCCACGAAAAATCTTACTTCTACAAATAAGTCGATTTTTTGTTCGATTTTGTTTTCAAGCGTCGTTTAATAGATCAATTAATTTTGGAAACTTTTGATATTGTTGTCAACAAAGCTAACATCTATCCGTAGTCATTAGAAATTTGCATCGTGCAAACTTATAAACGAAATTAAACGTAATGAAGGAAAAATAATAAAAAGAAGATACAATACACAAGTATTCTTCTCCTTCCTCTTCTACTTAATTTAGTTTGCTTGACGCTTTTGCGATGCGCTCTTTCACCCTTTTTTATTGGCATAAATACATTTTGTAACGGAAGGACGTTTAGTTGAATTTTAGCCTGACTAGAGAGAAAGTTGACGAAAGTTGACGAAAGTTGACGAAAGTTGCATTCCCTAAGCATTCTTCCGTTGCCTGCGTTATAATTCAAATCGCTATTAAAGAACGAAAGCATCGCGCGATGATCTCGCTCGATACGGGTTATTCGAGGAGTTGGTGTTGACCCGACCCCTTGTTGAAATTAGGCATGCGCCGCGGTACCGTAGCGTTTAGCAGTCAACCGGATCTGGAACCGGATGGTCCCAGAAGGAGCCTAGCCGACATTTACAAACTTCATCGTCGCAGAGAGACCGAGGGACCAAATCGTTTGGGCGTTTTCCAACGGCTCTTCAGCCTTTTTGGCAGCCGTCCGAGTAGTAGAAAAACATCCACGGCATCGTTCACAGGTAAGTCCTGCTAATTATTTTCAAGAAAATAGTACAAAGTTGAACTATTATCATCTCCAATAAATCGTAGCAAATTGAATTTTCCTATGCACTTTTGTTCCTATGCACCATTGTAGTAGCAATATTTCTGGCAAGATTGATTACGATAGGCTTCGTAAGGTCAATCGATATCCAACCGAAAATGATTCATTATCATTTTCATCCTACTCTATATATATGGTGTCGTTATTATCAAGAGTAATAACCGTATTTAGGTGTAGCGTCTGCGCTGAGAGTCCACATGGGTTATATAGCTGGTCTAGTACCAGGTGCTAAAGCCGCATCAACCTGCCAAATGGATGCACAAGGCTCAAGGCAGTCTCATCCTCGATGTGGTTCTGGCCCGATAATTAGTATCACTAGTGAGGAAGACCGCAGATTAAGCTTCGGCTTACGCCGTAAGGAAAGCAGCGAACCGAGAGTGAATTTTACTTTACCGCCACGTGAGTTAATCTCATTTAATAAATACATCAATCAATCAAATATGATTAACAATCTAAATGAATACCAATCAATTTCAAATCAAATTTACAGAAATTAGCAATAATAATGAAGGTTCGTCGCGAGAAAAAATTCGTGGTTCGCCTAGATTTCCTCATCGAATAGTCCCAGCAAATAGTCTAAGTACCATAACACCTGGACTATCAGCGATCAGACCTCATCGTTGGCACTCGATGGAAGATGCGAGGAGATCTAAAACAACTTCGACGCCTCGTGGTTCCTCCTGCAGTCCTCTCTGCGATGTTTGGGCAACTCACGAAGTTGGCATACCTCTCAGCGAATTGGGTAAAAGTGTGAGGGGTAGAAAACCACCGGAAAGTTTAACATTAACAATAAAGGCCGACTCTAATATCAGTCCCGACGATGCCAAATTGGGAAACGATTTGAAGAGACTCTTTCGAGAAAGTGACGTTTCTAGTGATGTCAGTCCAATTGAAACTGAATTGTCTTCAACACCGACAAACTTAAAACTCTCTAATACGATAAACGACGTAGTCCTGAAAAATGGCTCTCGTTCTGGTTCCACGACGTTGTTGACCGTTCAACAAGAACAAGAATATTGTCAACCTACGAGCCCTAAAATTCTCATTGCTAAACAACTACTTGACAACAAGGACAAGGTTCTTCGAGATCCTTCGTCAAACAACGATCAAGGATCTACCACCATCTAATCCTCATCGTTTGTGTTCCTTAGTCATCGTGCCAAAGGAAAATAAATGGGTTACCGGTAAGAGTACGCTCGATCAATCGACGTGTTTGATTTTTGTATCCGTATCGCGGAGGGACCAAGCTTCTTCCTTCATTTTTCTTCATTTTTCATTACAACTTCAACTATCCTATGCTTCGCTTCTCTGGACTGTAAAAGACGTTAACGACCGTTGTAACAAACGTTGGACGTTGGACGTTGGACGCAAATTTCTAACTATATATATCTTCAAATTCTCGACAACGTTTCCAATTATAAAATCTTACCAAATGTGTGTCTCTCGATTATAATAAATATAAAACAAATACCTAACAATAATAAAAAAGGAAAAGATAATATTTTCTTGCTACATATTTTTTATACGTCCAACGAGATCGGGTAAAACAATAAATAAAAAAATTGTTTCACGTTCTTCGTAAAATCTGCCAAAGAAGATGAATGATGATCCCCTTTGAAATGATTTCTCACTAATATGTAAATGTTCATTGAAATGAACCTACCCCCTCGTTCCCACCTTCGACAATTATTAATTACTGTTTAGAATAAAAACCACTGCTGTGTTAATAAATGTATCGTTAAATATCTCGAACGTAGTCAAATATTCGTATAGGTATATCATTTAGGATGAAAGATCGTTCAGTTGTGAACTATTGTTCTGGAAAGAAACAAAAAATGCGACATGTGTCATTCAATGAAATTTATTATTAATTCTAAGATATCTAACAAATCATCTCCACTAATCAAGTAAAAATCATTTATTAGGAAGACTAAAATGATGAATGAAAAACTAGGAAAATGATTGATTGATTGATTGATTGATTGATTGAAGCACGTAAGAAACACCGAAAATACTCTTACAGGCCCAAAATCAAAAGTGTTCAGTGCCCTAAAGCCCCTTTTTCTCCAGTACCTGTATTCACGTACGACGCGAATATATCTTTCCAAAAAATATGAATTATTATATTGATATTTTCATGCCATAATTAAGATATATCTATCTAATACAAAAATAAATATATAAATAATATATACGTGTGTATATTGTATATGTGCGTACATTATATATATATAAGATAAGACATACATATAAAAAGATTAAAAAGAGTTCGTACCTCGAACATCTTTGTGTCAATCATTGAAGTCTTTAACTATTGTAATAAGCAATAACTGTCATTGTCAAGAGCGAAGTAATAAAAAAATACTATATATATTCTATTTACTATTTGACTATTTGACTATTTTCAATCATCAACGTGGAATCTTGTTTTTTGTTTTTGTTTTGTTTTGTTTTGTTTTATTTTACTTAAGCATTTTACTTAGAAGAAGTAAATCTAAGGTAAGGGGTCACAAAGTTTCTATGATATATACTTTCGTACTTTCAACTATTTATACCTTTAATCATTTATTTATCGGGATGGCAATGCTTTTCGCGCTACATGACTAGTGTCAATTTTCTAAGGCCAAAGCACATAATAATATAAATAACAATTCATGATTTTGAATATTTGTAATTAAGTATCAAGCAACATAAAATGAAGAATAAAATTATTTAAACATATAGTGTATAAAGTATATTATTAAGAAGAGTATTATACGTATAAATAATTAATAAACAATTTTTATTTATTATGTGGGTCTATTTTTATCTATATATAAATAGAGATGTGAATAGAGATTTCTTCAAATGTTCCAATTTGTTATATAATATAATTTTCCTAACTCTTGTATTGCTTTGTAAATTAATGAATTACTAAAAAAAAAAAAAAGTCTATAAAGCTAATTAGAGACGGATTAAAGAAGAAGAACGAAAACAATATTAAATTTCATATAATAGCACCTTGAATTATCAAATATAGAGATATATATCATATTTTAAATTATATTGTTAAGGAAGACAATATTTGAAATATCACTACAGCAGCAGCAATATTAACAATTTATCTAACTATGCCAAATAATTAATAATTATATTAATAGTAGCCATGATGAGAAAATGAAATTTGATAGAAATGTCTTCATAAAATCTATCAATGTTAAATAGAGATTTTTATTAATATCTCTTTAACACAATGTCTTTTTTATTGATAAGAAAAATTGATTATTTAAATAATAAATTAAATGAAATGATTCATACAGTAAATCAAAGTAAAGATTTAATCAGACTATATTTACTGACATTGTTCAATATCTAGAAATCTATCTAGAAATACTAAGAGATATATAACGTATAAGTAATTATACTAACATAACAAGTGATATCTAATATATCATATTTTACAGTTGATCTATAGATGTGTTTGAAAACATTGTAGTAGTTAAAAATGTACAATTATAATAAACTCTTTGATAGAGTTACTATTTGCCGACAATTCAAGAATTTGTACAGATCTTCATCTTCACATGCTAGATACTTTTAACGAATGTACAATAAATTATCTACAATTATGAACTTATGAATAATATCCTTGAAATAGAAAAAATATGAACATACTATTTTACAAAAAGTTTAGCCTTTAATCATTGGGCTGCCTCTTCTATCGTAGCCTAAAATAATAAATAATAATATATTATTGTACTTGTATATGATGTATCATTTGAAAGTGTTAAGAAGTTAGTTGAAATGTGATAGATTAACTTACATTTATTTTTTCAAGAATTGTATTCGATGGATTATCCCGTTTCGTAGGTTCCTTTGTACTTTCTTTTTGAAAGCTTTTCTTCTCATCGTTAATAACTTTGACATTTTTCTCGGGACTTTTCAAAGCATTTTGAGCTTCTATTCTCTTGCGATTAAGAAATGCCATACCATGTACTCGGAGGTGTTTATCAACGGTAGCTTTATCTTCAAATACAGCCATGCATACGTAACATTGATTAGCTATCATCGCTTTAGTTTCATTTTCAAGATCATCAATATTATCCGGCGCATATGAGGAATTTTGATTCATGTAAGAAATAGGATCTTCTATTCCATGGAAAGCTTTCAAATGCATCTGCAAACTTGGTGCAACAACAAAGTTTTCGCCGCATTCTAAACACACCAAATATCTACCTTTGATCCTATGATTGGATGCTATATGTTCTCTTAAGTCTGACATGTTTGCGCATCGTTGATTGCACTTTCGACATATAAAATTACCCTCTTCGTCTTCTATGGATTCTTGTTCTACATACAACCCCAAACCAAATGAATTATTTGAATCTGTTTGTTTCTTTGCACTCCATCTTCTTCTTTTTTTCGAAATTGGTACTACCGTTCCTTCGGATTTACGCTTTTTATTATTCAACAATTCCTTATAACCACCATTAATAAATTCAGGAGTTATTCTTAATAATCTTGGCGTTACAACTGATAATTTACATTCCTCCGAATGTTTGACATTAAAATGAATACTTATAATAGGCCAAGCAGTATTTATCAGTTCACCGCACAAATGACATATGTAATCTTGATGCACGTCCTTTGAATTAGTTGGACCATTTAATGCTATTCGCCATGGTCGTCGTTTGACATTACTTTTTACTTTTACATTACGATTTCCATTAGATTTTTTAATTTTATCTTCTTGCTGATGTCTACTCTCGAAAAAGTGCTGAGGAATTCGAATTAAAGGTGGTGGCTTTGGTATCATTTGGTTTATATCATCATCATCATCATCATCATGATTTATTTTTATTTCATTAGGCGTTTCTATTAAAGGAGAAAGTGTGCTGCTATTCATTTTCTCAACTACATTTAATTTGGTGGCAATATTGTCAACAACACCATTTACTTTTTCTGCTTCTGCTTCTGCTTCTTCTTCTTCTTCTTTTTCCGAAATAATACTATCATTTGTTATAGATTTTGCATTAGTGATGCTTCTTCTTTCCTCCTTTGCAGAATTACACGTTTCTTTTGACTGATCATTTACAATAGATTTAGATGAATTTTGTCTCTTATCATCATTTGATTGTATTTCCATGTTAGCAGCAGCAATATCCGACGAACATTTTGGATCTTTTGACAAAACATCAGCCATTGATCTTACATCTAAAATTTTCGGTAGATTATCTTTTTTATCAGTGTTTAAGTAAACAATTGAACAATCCGTATTTTCTAATCTAGCATTCAACATTTTCAAATTCGATTCGATTTTATTATTCGATATGGTAGGACAAACATTGCCTTCGTTATTATCATCCGAAACTTGTTCAAAATCTTCTGATGCAATAGTTCGTGTATATATTATTTTAGGTACCATTGTATCTGAGCATAGACTTTCATTAGAATTTCGGACTTTTTTCAATCTTTCACAACTTAACGGCTCGTTAGGCTCGTTTTCTTTAAATAAACATTCATACAGACTAGATGGTAAAATATCTTTCAATGTTTCCGGTTTAATAATCTCTAATAAACGATAGAGGTGTACTATTTGAAAATGTATTTTAAATTGCATCATAAATTGTTTGCTTTCGAGATTATAATAAGGACAAAAAGGACATTTCAACCATATTATTTTTCGTACACCATAATGTTTCTCCAAGTGCATCATATATTTTTCATATCGATTAATACATTGGCCCAATTTGCAGATGATCAGTCTTATTGGTTGAGATTGAACGTTAATAGATGAATGTATTTTGTCACGATGCCTTTTATATTCATTGTACGTATCTAATACCATATTACAAGTCTCGCATGCTATCTTTTTACTACTATGCATAATAGCAAAGTGCCTCGCTATAGATTCCGTATCTTGAAAACCATCTATCTGACATATTTTACAAGAAAAAACACGCTTTTTTAACATATGGAAACAAAAAGACCATGTATGCCCTTCGAGTAATCTAAAAGAAGGAAATCTGCGAAAACAATCAGGGCATGCGTATGGTTTTTCTTCTCCGTGAAAATTCTGATGTGTTAAAAATCGAGTAACGTTACCCTGATAACTACGACATTGTTGACAAAAATGTTTGTAACATGAACAATATAGGATATCATTTTCAGCTGGTTTAGAAAATCCCGGAATATAAGTTTTGGGTTTCATGACTTTACTGCACGTGGCGCATCTGAAATTATTAACATGTTGACATTTTGATTCCCAATCATTCGATAATATTTCTTCATCGTTCCATACATCCTTCACATCTTTTGATTCGTTCTTACAAGACTCGAGTGCATCCTCTAATGCTATTTGTAAATTTTCAATTGATTTTAATGTATCTTCTATTACTTTGTAATCTACGAAATTCATAACAGTGAGAATTTCTTTACGGACATTCTGCAAATGTCGAATACGTTCCAATAATTCGCTACAATTCAATTGTCGAAATTCGTTCAACATATCTTGTCTACAATTTGGTATTGTTACAGTTGTAACTACGTTCAATTGCTTGCTACTACTCTTCGCTTTTTTTATATTCAAATATATTTCTGCATTTTCGGCTCTGCGAAATGACAAAACTTCACACAATCCATCGTTATTCAATAAATCCAATATAGATTGTTTAAATTTCGGTTTCAGGTAATGTCTGGATATCTCTGATGTATCATTTTGTATGCAAACGCTAGAATTTTGTTTTTTCTGAATTTCACAACTTGAACTATTTGATAATTCCGACGAAGATGGTGATGGCGTAGGCAAAGAAACATTTTGTTCGGCCAAGTTAACATATGTATTTTCAAGCAAAGATAATTTCGTCGTTATTCCATTTTCATTATTATTTGACGATGAATCAGGCGATGTAAACGTACTAAATTGATACACATCATTTGATGATGTACGCGTCAAAATATATCTTCTTCTCCCACTTTCAAGAAAAATCTGATTAGGAGATATTGTTTTATTAGACTCATCTGTTATTGTTTTTAAATTATCTGAACTCTTATTGTCCCCCAATATTGCACTATTACGTATATGTAAAGGTACCGCCGTTACATGATTGACTTTTTTCTTAATCCCATCCATATCTTGACCAACAAATACAATTTTATTATTCGAAAGATAAGACGAAATTTGATTATTATTAACAAGTGCATTCATTTTAACAGTGTCTTTATCTTGGAATGTTGCTGAATTTAAATCATTTTTTATAGTTGATAAATGTTTTTGTTTTTCATATTTCTGATTGATTTGATGCCCTTTATGAGATAAATTAGGCAACGAATTAGTAGCATTCTTACTAATTGAATTGTTCATTAAATTATCACCACCATTCTGCGTAGTGATTACAATGGTGGATAATTTGCCACTATTACTACATTTGTGGGCAAGATCTTTTTGCACATAACTAAAATCTTTCTCACCGATAATGTTAGATGATTTATTAGGTGAAGATGAAACAGGAGTAGTACTATAATTAACACTTTCTTTTTTCGATCTTTTTTGCTTACTTTGTTTTTTCGTTATCGTTGATTGCACATCCTTATTCTTATTCTTATTCTTATTCATATAATGCACATATTTCGAATTAATCGTTTTATTATGGTGTAAAGAATAATCTATTAATGAGTCATATGTATAACACTTATAAGTAGGTCCACAATTTACAAAGGTAATATCAGTAGGAGTAGAAGGATTACCTTCATCCTTAAGAGTATTTCGACTGGACGACACTACAGAATTACTAATATTTTCATGACTATCTTTTTCATTGGTTTCTGATGCTACTTTACTGAGTCCCGAAGTAGAGGATTTGAAATGATTAAGTTTGTACAATGAGTTCAAAGGAACCAAGTCTGCATCTACTTTAGCTACATCTAAATGAAATAAATTCCTTCCATTATACGTTTTGATGATCTTTGTAATAGGATTATCATTATCGTCGTAGTCGATATTATTTTCAACTATCTTCCACCAATTGCGATGAAGTTTTTTAGCTCTTAACCAATCCATGATATGTACCCTTATCATGAAACAATATTCGAAAAGTGCTTCACAAGCAAAATCCATTTTAGATGTCCAATCACCCTCCACATTTGGTAATGGCATTAACATAATATCACATATGTTGACTAAAGATATATTATGCAATTTCAAATGTGCAAAAAATTGACACTGATTATAAAAGACTCTAATAGTTCCCATTTTTTGATGTTTATGAATACCTCTCTTTTTCATATACGATCGCTTATCGTTTTCCATATTCAAACACAAATTACATGGTGTACTATTATTAGGTACATGAGTGCACACCGTTAAGAAACATTTCTGACACCAAAATCCTAATATCCAACTGTGTCGCTGACTATGGTCTTCGAAACTGCTTTTAAACCAAAAACTAAGACACAAAGAAATTGATTCAATCCATTTGTTAGATATAGAATATATTTACACTTTATATTTACTTATAGAATAAAATAGCTCAAAAATAAGATGTAATTCTTACCAATCTTTGCATTGTTGACATACGTATACTAAATCAGACTCTCCATTATCACATTTTAAAGAAGCTGGTGCTTTTAAGGGCACATATGGTATAGGGTGCAACTTAAAAACAGCATCTCTCACTGCTGCATGATACTTTATTCCCCATTTCTTATAAATTCTATGTGTGCTACGGAGTGTGATATTCCGATTGTTACGTTTCAAGCTAGGAACAGATTCCTAAAGCATCAAAAGCATCAAAGATCAATAACATCATTTAGTAATGTTAATATAAATAGGACAATCAATTGCAAAGACAATTAAACTAATTCGCATGTTGATAAGTATACGCATATTAAACAGCTAAATATAAATAGATATTACGCGTATACCATATTTTTTATTACTATTACTATTATTATTATTACTATTATTATAATTATTATTTTGTATATAAATTTTAATATAACAAAGTACCTAACATAAGATCACATATATGTATATAATTAATTTGACATATATATACATATATATATAAGTATCTTGTTCTCTTACCATTTGTAATCTTGATTGTGTATCTCTCATACTTATTCAGAATAAGTAAAATAAATTAATACATTGTTATGAATCACAAGATCAGCCATGACATGTTTTCAACTGTTTGTTGCTCGGTCGATAATATAGAAAACAAAGGCGCTAATATCGCAATATTGAATTATTTAACACTGTGAAAATATATTGCAAAACACATGAAAATAATTCGTATTATCTTTTAATTAATTTAACATTTGAATGAATAAACCAAAAGAAAATGTTTACCTAAAGTATATTAATTACCAATATTCATTGATACATTATTACAGGTGAAGTGGTCTTCTTCAATGGTTCATTCACAGATCCTGAACACTAAAAAGATTTTAAAGAAGAATATTAGATTATAAATACAACATAAGAATATACATTAATAAATTCAACGATATACAACATAGATGTACAATATTTAACAACTGAGATATTATAGGTTTTGATGATTCTAATCATGGCAATTAATTTACATGATTATTACATTTATGAACATAAAAGATAAGTTTTATAACATTGAAGTTTGTTATTATATATACTTATATACTTTTACTATTTCATACTATTTTACATACAACAGTACTATAATATATAAAACAGCTCTATACAACAAGAATAAAATAGTTTAACAATAGTACAGAAATAAAGAGTATCAATACTCATAATTATTATTTTGGTAAATTGATATATGAACAATTTTACCTTATATAAGATATATAATTCTTAAACATCCAGATATTAGCACTTAATCATTTAGAAATAATAAATAGTTTAGAAATTTATTATATTTTCCTACTTGAAATTTATCTCAAAACTATCTTAATAATCTAGAATATTCAATGAACATATTTGACCATTGACTAACCTTCTTATGATAAATTTATAGATGTCGCTATAATATATATGTAACTACAAATATTTATTATAAACTTTATCACATATTTCAATATATCAATATATAACACTTATTGTTAAACAATTGAAAACTTTGTTTTCTTTTAGCATTTCAATTCTTTTAGCATGACAATAGACTGTCTTGAAATTATTTCTCAAGAATGGAATTAAATCATTTTTGCGTGTACTTTTTCTTCTTCTTCTTATTATTATTATTAAGTATAATATTCTCTATTGAATAAGAGATAACAATCAATGTTGAGATAAAAATAATGTTTAATCTATAACTATCTTTATTGTGGACTTTATTGAAGACTATCTATGTTGAATATACTCAATGGTTACTACTAAAAAGGTTGCGCAACTATTGGACTCTACTGAATAATGACTTACTACGAGTTCAACCCATTTACTGGACGTTTGAAAGAATCTACAAGATTTCAACCATATTATCCATTAGTAAGTAATCATTGAAATATATTTACCTTATATTTGTATCATTTTCAAATAATTGATCATTTAGTATTTTATAAGAGAATTGACTTTCTTGTAAATAAGCTCCATCATTACTGGTGACAATTTTTTGGTGTTAAGTATTTTCTATTGATTTATATTATTTGTTCAATTGTTATCAATTTGTCGTCATCATTAAGTAGAAAACAATCAAAGTATTCGATATTTTCTACTGTGTTTTCTACTTATAGTTCAAATGTTAATATTTCAATTGTTTTACAGTACTCGCCATATTTATTAGCAGACGACATAATATCGATCACGTAACAAAATGTTCACATATGATATACTTAATAATACTCGATCATGCATTATTATATATTAGTATTTGTATGTAATTTATATCCTATATTGATAAATGAATTTGATTTTTGCAGAAACCTAGTGCATTAAGTAAAGTAGAACAAACATTAATTTGGGACACTATGAAAACCAAACCAGCAGAAGTTAAGTCAGCTGCTTCAGTTTCATCTAGTAGCTCATCCGTTGATCCTAAACTTCTTGAAAAATATAAATTTTTCCAGGTAAACTCTTGACATATTTATATTAAAATGAAAAAATACCTTCATTTGATGTAATTATATATAAAATGATTGTGTTTTTTGTACAGAGGGATATCCATAAACCAGTTTACTTAATGGGAGGAACAAAAGATAAAATACTGTTTGGCATAACAATTGCTCTAACATGTTACATTGCTGTTGATACAGCAAGATTTTTGTATGATCTTTCAAAGAAATAAAGTATTAAATAAGTGTACATTATGTAGAGATATAGAAAAATATGTAATGAATGAATTATGTTGTGTTGAATATATAAAGTAAAATAAATAGACAGAAAAATCTGTTGAAGATTTCTACAACTAATTGTGTTCCTATCTTATAATAAAATATCTTATAATATATTATTTTGACTATCCTCTTCCTATTGGAATCAATCCTATTACTATGATAATGAAAAAAATATAAAAACAGGACATAAAATAATATATGACATACATATAAAGTTCTATAGGATTATGACAGTCAAGTAGAGCACACTCTATGCTGGTGGCAACGTCAGTGTCAATGTCATGTTGGATTAGAAGAAATAATAATATTAGTTGTAAAATGTTAATAATTAAAGAATGAGTTAATAATTAATTAAATTGATTTTAGACAAATGAATTTGGATATTATATTTAACAAAATATTTCGTTGCATTTATGATAAAGATAATATGAAAAGATAACCTAACCTTGTAAACATCATTGATAAACGAATGAATAGCAGCAGCAGGTGATTGCATTGAATCGATTAATAATGGATGACAATACTGTTCCAAATATGATATTTCATCCGATAATATCATCAATACAAAAAATTGCACTTTATGAAACAAAATCGGTAAAATGATTCATTCATTTTCAACTGAACTCTTGTAAGAGTTAATAACAAAAATGATTGATATTTAAAATGATATTGTAGCGGTTTTATTTAATGGGATCAAATAATACGCTGACACGATTTCGTGTATTAAAAATAGATCGGATGGAACCAAGGGAACTTTTTGTTGTTGACGATAAAAGGGAATATACTCAAGATGAAATACAAGATCTTGTTAATATGATTGATATGGGTAATCGTACACGTATAGGACAACGCAATAACATTGGCGGTGTTGCACGAGTTGTTTCAGCTTTTGGTATTGTTGGTACGTTCAATATTTACCTTATATTTGAAATATAATAAAGGTTCTAGTATGGTGTGTTAAGAATTTACAATGTTTATCATCATTGCATGTACATGCTTCTGTAGTCAATATTTGGTATGGTTTATAATATTTTTCTCAAATTTCTACACTTTAACAAAATCACATTTATTGAGAGTCAGTCATTATCACAATATCATTAAAACAGTATTATTTGAAATATGATAGTCTTAAGGTACATCATATATTATTACATACTACATTTATAAATGCAACAGCTTAGGCTCCTCAGCTTTGCACATGATTTTTTTTTTTGTGGTTTTCTTTTATTATGACACAATTTATGAAGTATTATTGAAGTATTATTGTATAAAATTATAAAAAGAAAGAAAAGATCTACCAGTGTAATATAATGATATCATATCAGAACCATTATTAATTATAATGTAAAGAACACAGCTTATTTACATATGCTTGCTAACAAAGGCAGCAATAATAAAGAATCCAGCACACATATGTCAGAGGAGTCTGAGCAGCATCGGTCAGAAAAGCCGATGCACAAACCGACAAAAACTAAATTCACCTGGAAGAATATGTGGCAGAGAGATACTTTTCCCAGGCTAGTGTCAGCTTTCGGTCTTCTTGGTAAGGCTCATTGCAGTTTTTATTTTCTGAGCCAAAAAACGACAAATATTTTCTCTTTATTACTATCATCTTGATTTGATCAACAATTATAAACAATGGACTATTATAAATACTATTGTTTTCTATGAATTGTAATAATAATCTAGTAAAATAATCATATAGACATTTTTTCATGATGGTTCTAATTATTGTTAAATACTATATTGTATTATAATATTGAAACAACTGCTACATTATAAAGATAAGATTCACAATGAATAATTATACATAATTATGCACATATAATTGATAATAATATAACATGGTATGTATGATAATTTTTTCGAGCATGGCTCTCTATTTTTTTATTTACTTATCCACGCATGACATTTTGTCAGCGATGTAATCATTGGTAGATGAAGCATGTTCTGATGCACAACGTGTGGGATATTTAACAGCAAATCTAAATAATGATATATTTATTGTTATTACAATAAGAGAATTTACAACTTTTTGAGAATTTGTATTAAATGTTTATATTTTTATCTCACATTTCTCTCTCTCTCTCTCTCTCTCTTTTACAAATATTATTTATTATTAATTAACTTATTGAAGAAATCTTTTGTAAAAGGTTTTATACGCTTCCTGGAAGGATATTATATCATTCTTGTAACTAAACGTCGTCGAGTGGCAGTTATTGGTCATCACACAATATATAAAATAGAAGATACTTCAATGATATACATTCCCAATGACACTGTTCGTCTCTTTCATCCTGATGAACAAAGATATGTCAAGATGTTTCAAGGTATTGATTTAAGTAGTAATTTCTACTTCAGTTATTCCTATGATTTGACGCACACTTTACAATATAATATGGCACCGCCAAAGCACATTAAATTGGACATACCTAACAATGCTAATGAAAAGGAAGATGATATAGAAGAAGCTGAAGATTTTTTTAACATGTGGTCGTTCCATAAAAACTGCCACCAAAGTGATAGGTTTGTAATTAGAGTTTACACTTAGAATAAAGACAAAACAAATGAACAAATCTTGACGACATCTATCTTATTATATTCCTTGACAGCACAAAGGAAAAATATATTGATTATGCAGTGCGCAGTAATCCAAATCGTCGATTCATATGGAACTCACATTTATTATCACCAGTGGAAAAAGATCTTCATAGAGATTGGATTTTATATGTTATACACGGTTTTATCGGACAATCAAATGTTAGCATCTTTGGGAGATCTGTATATATCGCTTTAATAGCTAGAAGAAGTAATAAATATGCAGGCACTAGATTTTTAAAGCGTGGTGCAAATTTTGATGTAAGTTTTCTACTTCTCCTCTATTTATATATATTTTATATATCATATATGTGAATCCCCCTATATGTATATGAATATTAAGGGTGATGTAGCAAACGAAGTAGAAACTGAACAAATAGTTCATGATTCTGGTGTGAGTTCTTTAAATAATGGAAGATTTAGTTCTTTCGTGCAAATGCGTGGCTCAGTTCCTGGCCATTGGAGCCAAGACGTTAGCAAAATGGTTCCAAAGCCTACAATCGTTTGTGATTTAGCTGATCCATTTGTAGAAACAGCTGGTAAGAAATTGATTTAATTATTATTTTATTCTCGCGCGCGCGCGCGCGCGTGTGTGTGTGTGTACACATATATACACAAATATTGGTTCTTTTGTAGGAGCACATTTTAATAAGCTTCTTAAGAGGTATGGATCGCCAATTATAATATTAAATCTTGTTAAAAAACGTGAGAAAAAAAAACACGAAAGTACATTAAGCGAAGAATTAAGTACGGCTGTGAAATATTTAAATCAATTTTTACCACCGGAACACCATATTCAGTACATAAGCTTTGATATGGCCAGAATGCTCAAACGGTAAATTATAATAATTACAATTTGATGATCATACAATTGAAATGAAAATATATATAATAATAATAAATGATAATCAAATGATTTTTGTACAGAAAAGAAGTCAATGTTATGGGTCGTTTAGCAAATATAGCCCATAATGCTGTCTTAAAAACGGGTGTTTTTCAATCGCATAATCCATATTACAGTCAACGAAATTTATTCATGCAACAACACAGTAATGCTAAAAAAGTTCATAAAACAAATTCAAGTTGTGGACTATCGTTTAGTTCTTATGACGTGAAAAATTCTCTTAATAATTCATTCAAAATAGATTATAATAATTATTTAAAAAGTCCTAACACTTTAGAAATACCATCAACCGAATGTAATAAGACGTATGATTCAGAATATTTAGAAGATCATGTAAAGGATTATTTTGCAAGAAAGGGAATACCACAAACTGGAATTATTAGAACTAATTGTGTTGATTGTCTAGATCGGACAAATACAGCTCAATTTGCTATAGGCAAATGTGCTTTAGGTTTTCAGTTATGTGCTTTAGGAGTATTGGAAAGTCCTAAACTTGAATTTGATTCTGATTGTGTAAGAATGTTGGAAGAATTGTATGAAGATCATGGCGATACATTAGCCTTACAGTATGGTGGATCTCAATTGGTACACAGAATCAAAACCTATAGGTAGGTAATAAACACAAATTTTCATGTAATTCGTCGTGTCATAGTGTGTCATTAGGAATAATAATAATAATAATAATAATAATAGTAGTAATAATAATTTGTATTTGTAAATTTAGAAAAACTGCACCATGGACTAGTCAAGGAAATGATATAATGCAAACATTGAGTAGATATTACAGTAATACTTTCAGCGATCAAGAAAAACAACATACAATTAATTTATTTTTAGGTAATGAAGTATTTCACTGGGCAAATGACTTGCAATTACAAATACTGATAGTATACATGTTTTTCTAGGTCTTTTTATACCAGAAGAAGGTAAACCATCGATATGGGAATTATTAACAGATTATTATCTTCACCATAAGCCTGCATGTCAATATCTTCGCAAAGGAAGATTACTTACTCAATGGTGGAATAAAAATGTATTGAAATGTTTACCATATGCATTCAATGAAGTAACTAAAACTTGTTCTGAAATGATACAAGTACAAAGTACTTACGAAGAAATGATTGATATTTATTATGATTATCATAGGCCTTATGAATTATCTATATTTTTGGATTTATATGCATATATAATAAGTCATTCAGTTAGAGATTTCATGCCTCATTTTACAACAAGTTTTAGTCCATTTGCTGTACGTATAAGGCCAGGTAGAAGAAGAGAAGAAACTGGTAATAAAAATTTGAATATGAAGAATCCATCTATGACTGGACAGAGTAGTACAAGCAGTACAACGTCTAGTGCAAGGTATACTTATTATTTTTGTGAAGAAATTTCATACTACCTACCTACCTACCTACCTACCTACCTACCTACCTACCTACCCTAATTTGTATACTACCAATTTTATTTGACATAGTTCAAGCGAGGATTCAACTTCCGACGAAGATGAAAGTCATCCGCAGATGAATGACTCACAATTATTTGCATCTAAAGATAATTCAGAATTAATGTCCTTTGAATGTTTGTTTCCGTCAATGAAAGAGGTATATGGAATGCAGCCAGAATATCCAGCAAGAAATGATATTATTCTCTATAAAAGGTAATGTTTTTTTTTCTCAATTGTTCTATTACGCTTAGTATTTAATAATGTACTGTTGTGTACTGTGACTGTGACTATGACTGTTTGCTTTTGCAGATTCGTTTTAATAGGACGTAATGCAACGTATCCGATAGATCAAACAAAACTTCGTTCAAAACTAGTGCAGCAAGCATCATTTCCAGAAAACCCGCAACCACCAACTGTTACTTCCTTACCATTTGTCAAAGAAGCAAGCATAAATATATATGAACAGTATGTTAAGAGAGCAAAGGTAAATAATTATTATACATAAAGTCAAATGTTTGGCAACTTTGTCATTTAAAAAATGATTTCTTTCAAATAGGTTGGTGGTTCTATTCCAAATTCTAACGATATGAATCTTTATAAGAGTTATGCAAATCAAGAAGAATTATTATTAAAGTTAGTACGTGCAAGTAATTGTACCTAAAGAGAGTTTTATTTTAATTATTATATTATAAATTTTGATCAATTATACAATATATAAATAAAATATTACTCATTTGAATCTATGATGATAAGTTTTTATTGTAATCCGTTATAAGAAATACACATTTTCGTGATTGATTAATCAATCATGTTCTATTGATAGAAAATGGAATATGGATAAAGATGGAAATTCCAATGTCCAATTTTCCATGATTTGAATAAATAATGGAAATAGTTTATTTTAGCTTCTTCTTTGGGCGGATGTTATTAGTGTGTCCACATTTCTTTTTACGGCAGTTAGTTGCACGTGGATGAAGACGTGCATAGCATTTCCTGCAGATCATTTTATCGCAATTATATTTCTGCGCCAGAATACGAAGGGTAGGTTCGATAACTCCACCTCGAAGACGCAATACCAAATGAAGCGTTGATTCTGTTCGATAAATAATATTTCAGATATTATTATATAACATAAATGCTTAAATGCATAAATGCATAAATGACAAATCATATGAACATAATATAATATGATATGCGATGAATGTACCTTTTTGAATGTTATAATCTGACAAAGTACGACCATCCTCCAGCTGTTTACCAGCAAAAATAAGTCTTTGCTGATCAGGAGGAATTCCTTCCTTGTCTTGAATTTTAGCTTTTACATTTTCTATAGTATCGGATGCCTCTACTTCAAGGGTAATGGTTTTACCCGTAAGGGTCTTTACGAAGATCTGCATCGTGACTTACCTAACAATGGATTATAATAAATATTTTTATATAAAATTGGATACTCTCTAATTGTTTGTGTTACTAATCCTAGACGATTTGTATCAATTCTATGAACATGATACCTTCCAAATATTATTTCTCAATTATTCTCTTGATTATTTTAATATTTCTTTTATGATGATTTATTAGTTGAGAATATAAAAAGAAAGGTTGAATTTTTGGGATAAGAAATTCACTGTAAACTTGAAAATTTAGATATTACGACGATTTAGTTAACAGCATGTGTTATTGGCAACGTGCCGTGATGCAGTTGTTTTATAACACGTTTTTGTTTCGATAGATTTTAGATTAAGGAAGGAAAATAATGCTGCATTAATTACGTCTCGTTAAATACCATTTTTTTTTTTAATATAAACAAAAATTCTATGAGAGAGAGATAATATTATGAAATAATAGTTAAGATTTAAAGAATTATATTCTTACCGTTTTAACAACGTGCACTTCAGAAAAACCTTAAGTAAGAAAATTTTCTATAAACGATAACTTACGTTATCGTTTCAACGATTACTCTGCCATCTTACGAATTTATTATTCAATTGAGTGATTTTGATTTTGATTGGTTAAGCCAATTCGCTACTTACAAAGAGAAAAGTATGCGACTTCAGCGACAGCTTTGAACAAAATATGAACCAAAAATGTAACTGTATAGGGTGGTACACTAGCGCTGCTTCTCCCTATGCGGGAACCACACCAGTTAAGTTCTACAGTGTACTTGTTATTAATAAATAATAAATTAAATTTTTCAATGTAAAAAATTCAAAATTTTGTTGGTGCTTGCTGGACTTGTGAGGAGATTCTATGTACTTCTCTATTCTTTGATTTAACACACGTGGAAAAGTATGTACATATGCATTATGTTTTTAAAAGGCATTAAAACATAACCTAAAATGAAACAATAGATTTAAATGTTTATTAATTTTGTTGTAGATTGTGCAACAATTGAGAAATAGTTGAAACTATTAATTAATCTTATTTAATTGTTTACATTTGTAAAGTATTTATTATCGTCATGGCCGAGGCAATTGTTGATAAACGTTTTGCACATATTGCAAGGGATCCCAAATTTAAAAGGATACCAAAAAATGAGCGTAAAATTAAAATAGATAAAAGATTTCAAAGTATGTTTAATGATGACAAATTTGCAATTAAATATACGGTTGATAAACGTGGTAAACCTATTAATCAAACTTCTATGGAAAATCTTCAAAAGTACTATCATCAAGAAAGTAGCAGTGAAGATGAATCAGATACCGAGATTAAATTGAAAACAAGAAAAAGTGGAAAAAAGGCTAATAATAAAATAAAGCACGATGAATCTGACGATACTATTGAGAAGGAAAAAAGTGCTAGAAAATCAAAGGCAAAGGAAGATATTGACGAGAATCTATGTATCGCTAGCTCGTCTTGTACAATTGATTTGGATGAGGAATTGAAGGAAAATGAAAAACAGTTGAATATAAAAAAAAAAGATGAACATTTAAAGTTAACTAATCAAGTAAAAGAGAGATTACAAGATCTTTCTGTTAATTATGCAAGGGGTGAAGGAATTTTAGTAACCGATAGTTCTTCCGATGAAGAAACTTCCGAATACAGTGGTAACACTCTAATCATATCTATATTCTACCTTTGTTTGAATATGTTTTAATCCTAATTGTTTGCATGAACAAATACAAATATATGTTATCTTGAAATTTAGACGAAGACATAGAAGACATAGAACATGGTTGGGGTGAATTAGATAAAGATGCAGAAACGACCGATGAAATAACACGTAGATTAGCTGTTTGCAATATGAACTGGGATAGAATACGTGCCGTAGATCTGATGGTCCTATTTCATTCATTTTTACCAAGCGGTGGTATTATCCATTCAGTTACGGTAATTAAATTAGTAGTTAAGTACTACTAACAATAATTGACAACAGCACATTAACAACTCTATAATAGAAGTTTCTATTGAGCTTTTTTCAATATTGTAGATCTATCCATCAGAATTTGGTTTAGAACGTATGAAAGAAGAAGAAATAAAAGGACCGGTAGAACTGGTTGATGATAAAATAGAAGAAGAAGAACAAGGAGGTCACAGCGAAAGCGAAAGCGACAGCGACAGCGTAAGTTTAATTACTTATATACCATGAATAAACATTTCCCCTTATTTTTCTTTCATTGTTATTATATAGAACGAAGAAGGCTCGAGTTATCACATGGAGAAATTAAGGAAATATCAATTGAATAGATTAAAGTATTATTATGCGGTATTAGAATGCGATTCCGCTGAAACTGCTAACAAAATTTATACCGATTGCGATGGTATCGAATATGAGTGCACTGCAACAAGACTAGATTTGAGATTTATACCTGATGATATGACTTTTGATCAGGTATTCAACACAAATTCTTCATCTATTCATTTCATATTCATTTAATAAATGAAGATTTTATTTTATTTCAGGAACCACGAGAAGTGTGTACCGAATTGCCAGAAATTTCGAAATATCAACCACGTCAATTTGTTACTACTGCGTTGCAACAAGCTAAAGTACAATTAACTTGGGACGAAACAAACCCAGACAGGGAAGAATTAGCAAATAAGCTTAATTCTGGAAAAGTTAATGAAATAAATGAGAAAGATTTGCAAGCTTATTTAGCTAGTGGAACTAGCGATGATGATACAGGTAGGTAAATTGATGTGTAATATATTGATCTAATGTATGATAACATCTAACTTTTATATTCACATTGTAGACAATGAAATTGAACAAAATGATAAGCGTGAAAGAGAAGATCAAGAGGATTCAGATACACCTAATGATCCCATTGAAAAATATAAATCTTTGTTGAAACAATTGGACGAAGAGGAAGAGGCGAAAAAAAACAAAGATGTTGAATTAGAATTTACATGGGGCATTGGAACGGAAGAAAAAGAAGATAAATTAGCCAAGGATATATCAAAGAAAACTGAAGAAGATTTAGCTCCATTCGAGAAATATTTAGCAAAACGAAAAATCAAACAAAAAGCTAGAAAGGAAGAAATCAAAAAACGGATGGAATTACGCGACGATGATGCATCGAATTCGGATAATACCGATGTTAATATTTGGAAGAACAATAAACTGAAAAATGGCCGGTTATCGCGTAAAGAGCAACAAATAACTGGTGAAAATAGCGACGACGACGACGATGATGATGATGATGATGATTCTTCATTTATGGAAAACGAAGAAACAAAACGTTCGAAAGAATTAGAATTACTTTTAATGGATGAAACCGAGAATGAAAATAAGAAACATTTTGACATGAATAAAATTGAAGCTAATACAAATTTGTCTAAATCTAAGCGCAAAAGATTGAAGAAAAAACAAAATGTACAAAATATCGAGGAAGATGATTTTCAAGTAAATGTTAACGATGCCAGATTTTCCGCGCTTTTTACATCACATAATTTCAACATCGATCCTGCAGATCCTCATTATAGAAAAACCAAAGGCACAGATACTTTCATTCAAGAGAAATTGAAAAGAAGAGCCCAACATATTCCTGTTGATGTAAGTATATAATATTACGTAATTATATAATTTACATGTTTTTCTAATTGTTGTGATAATATTTTAGCAAAAGGAAGAAAAGATGCCTCCTGAAAATAATAAAAAATTAAAACTAGAATTGCAAGCATTAGTTAAATCGGTTAAAAGGAATACCAATACTATCTCTCAATCAATAAAACGATGACCTCAATTATTTATAACAACATAATTTCTTTCTTCTTTTTTTATTTTCGTTTTTCTACACGTTCAATAATCCAATAATCCCTTTCCCGCATTTATTCGAACACATTAAATATAAATATTCTTCTCGTAAGATAATTAGCAAAATTTGATTTGTACTTGCTTAGATTATATCTTAATCATCTTAATCATTTTAATCAGTCCGTCGCAGATTAATCTCCGTGTAAATATTGCTTATATTTCAATACAATCGTTATTTGCCGAAATGTTTTTTAAGATAGTTGTAGTAGTAGCAACAACAACAACAACAACAACAACAACAACAACAAAATATTAAAATGGAATAAGGCAAAAATGTCGCGTAAAATGACGAGGATTAAATACTATTAGGATTATTCTTTAGTTCTCTCCAACTTCCTTTCCAAATAAATAGCCTTGTTAGTAATTGTTGTTAAGACAATATTTAATAGGTAGAGAAAATATGTCCATTGCCAGCACTGTACACAGAATTATCGTATTCTATAAAATAACAATAACAAATTTCCACTTGAAATATAAAATTAGATTTAGTTTTTTAAATTATGCTTTCACCTATGTCTTCATCCATTACAAGGCCATAGCTAAGAATTAGAAGAGTCAAAATACATAATGCAAATATATATATAATATATATATATATAATTATTATTATTGTCTAAATGAGTTCATTCAGAAAAGTAAACAACGATGTGGAAGACCGAACAAATCTTGAAATATAAGTAACACTTTCCAAGAAATAATGACGAGAAGAGATTATTCTAATAAGATTTAATCTAAAAAGAAATGAAATTAATTGCCGTATGTAAAATTTCCATTAAACTCGATGATAAAGCATAGATTTTAATCGAGATAGAAAAATAACCTACACATCGAAAAGGATAATTTTAAAAAATATTTTTCATTCGAATATTTGCTTACTTGCTTTTGTAGCAAAGTAAAATGTTCATTTACATTGCTATCACAAGTCAAAGTCATAAGTTATATTACATTATAACACAACGTTTTCGTAAAAATAGAAGAATAGAATAGAATAGAATAGATATTTAAATATTGTGTAATGAAGAAAAATTCCAATCGTTTCATCATTCCCAAACAAATAAACAAACGCGAAACAGTAAACTACAAGTTAGAACAATTTACCGACTAGATATCACAATTTTAATCCGTATCTTCTGGCTCAGAAGATTGTACGACAGTTATAGAAGATGGAATAATTAATTTTTCTTCAATATCCTCTTCTGTAAACAAGAAATTACCAGCTTCGCGTACTTCTTCCTCTCGTGCAGGCTCCGGGAGAATCAATGTATCTTGATCATGCTGTTTCAAGTGATCTTTTAAAGCAAACGCTCTACCGTAAGACGCTCCACAGATTTTACAACTAAATTTTAAATTATTGTCTTTCTTATGCGTTTGAATGTGCGCTCTTGCCGCGTACAAAGATGCGAAAGGTCTCGAGCATTCCGTACAACGAAATGGCTTGGTATGACTATTCTTATGACCGGCTAACTGTACTCTAGTTTTAAACGTTTTTGGACAATAAGGACATGTATAAGCACGCTCCTCTCCGTGAGTAAGTAAATGATGATTATACACAGAAGAAGCTTTAAACCTTTTGCCGCAATGTTGACAGCCGTATGGTCTTACTCCTGTATGTGTCCTCATATGTAACGTCAAACAGTATGAAACACGAAAAGTTTTTCCACAAACCTAACAAACAACAACAACAATAATCATGTTTCCTTTATATTCATATCAGACAAATATATGATGTATATTCAAAAAAAGAAAGAGAGAGAGAGAGAGAGAGTATACATACTTCGCAAATATGAGGCTTCTCTCCGGTATGAATACGTTCGTGTTTTACCTTCTCGTGCGGTCTAGTAAATCTTCTACCGCAGTGTTGGCACTGATAGGGTTTTTGATTTTCAGTCGACTCATTGACTTCGCTCGTAGGAGGAGTCGGAGAATGTGATTGACTCAATTCGGTGTGGACCGCGGCATGCATCGCTAAACTATCAGCAGAGTCAAACTTTCTGTTACAAACTGTACAAGTTACAGATTCACCTGTATGCAATGACATGTGCGCTTCTTTATACGATTCTGATAAAGTTTTACCTACAAAGGTCAACATTACATCTTAATATTAAGTATTTGAATTTTACGTAAACTATTTTTGTTGTTAAATTGTGTAAAAAATGTAATTGTAAAAATGGAAATTACCACACTCGGGACAAGTAAAGGTCGCATCTCGATGTCCTTCCGGTGCATCGACATGTCTTGCTCTCACCGGCGCGTGCATACGAGAATGCAATCGTAAGCTTTTGTGAGAACAAAATTCCGTACCGCACGTAGGACATACAAATACTCGTTGATTAGAATCAGATTCAGCCTCGTGTACCTTGGAATGAAGTTGTAACGCTTTTGACGTTGCGAAAGTTTGATCGCAAGTATCACAACGATTATTTCCCCGAAGACATGCGTGCTCTCGAAAATTTGTCAGTTTATTGAATTGTTCGAGACCTTGATTATTACATCTGTACATTTTCACTGACGTAGGAACTATCCTCTTCTCTCTCACCTTGATATACCAAATATTGTGTGTATAAAGTAAAGACAAATAAACTCGCGTGACACAGGTATGAATGACGTACCTTAACGCCTTCTACATTGGAAAAAAATTTCTCAATCATTGGCGCCTTAGCGGATTGCACTGGTGGTACTACTTCCATTGAATTTCTATCCCAAAATCTTTCTACTTGAACAACTTTTCTAGTATATAATCTTCCTTCACTATCTACACATTCTTCAGTATAAAGTGTATTCATAGTTTGAGATTGCGTATTAGCAGTATTATCAGTTTCCTCTGGGAGAACAGAAGTTGTGGGTACAGATGATAAATCGTCCAACTGGTCTGCCATTTCGAGTAACACTTCTTGTCCATCATGAAACTGGTTAATATGTTCAAAAACGGAATTGAAGCTCATGTCGCAAGTTGTACAGCTATAAACTGCTTCTGGTTCTAGCTATGGAATAAGATAATATTCTTTCAAACTACTAACTACAATATTTCGAATTAATTTATTATTATATGCAGTTATATTTATGCTTATTATCTTAAAGATACTTTTTTTCTAATGAAATATCCAGTTTTGGATTCATTTTTGTGGTGCATATAAATTCTCTGAAATGAATAGATACAAAATTGGTCATTATCATTTTGTTCAAAATTGATTTACAACCAAATCAATGGAGACAAAAAAACACGATCAACTTCAATTGTGTATTGCATGTACATGCAAAAATATGGAAAAAAAAAGAAAAAATACAAACGCGTTATACCTTTTCTACTTTTACCTCTGAGATCTCCTGTTTAACACGAAGTAATCCACTTTCGTCAAGTTGCCCAACATCATTTATATGGTCCATATTTATCAAGGCACTACCACCTCCATCCAAAAGTTCCGAACCACCGGATAAAATGGTTATTATATTTTTATCTTCTGATATATCTTCTGTGCCAGAGGTTGATGGAGTTACCAATGTATTTGACATCGAAGATTTATCATCTCTTTCAACGTCAACGATATCATTTAATTTTTCATTCATTTTTAAGTCCAACGAATTATGATCTACTTCTGATTTCTCCATACCAGTCTTTTCTATTACTTTAATGTCTCCTGATATTTATGTTAGAAATAACATTCAATGGAATCAAATAAATGTAAATACAAAAAATTCTTACACACCATTTTCGTCAACTCGTATAGTTTCAGATTCTCCTACTATCATTATATCATTATTATTTACAGTCGTTAGAAAAGTTTGATTAATCTGCTCAATATGTGTATCCTAAAGCCAAGTATAAATCAAAATAAGTACCTTAATAAGTATCTTATATATTATATTATAATACACATAAGTACATGGAGAAAAAAGAAACAAATTATACCATTAAGACCTCAGAAGCTATGACTGTTTCCTTACAAGTTTCTTGCTTCTTGTTTTCTTTAATATCTTCAAATTCCTTTGGATTAAAGTCTTGGCCGCATCTATCCAAGTGCTGTATCAAGGCCATTACCGAATCTGAACGCTGCGAACATCCAGGACAATACAAATTGTCCGTCATGCTGAGCAAGTGGTACTTCAATGACTGTGGATCGTTAAATGTTTCACCACAGCACATTGGGCAAATTAGATTCAATGATCCCATTGTTTTTTTTTTTATTTATTTCTCTCCCTTACATATACATATACATATGTATATACATATATATGTATATAACAAGAGATTTATATATACATTTACATATATATATATACACACACATACATACATACATACATATATGTAAACTGTTATTTAGATAATTTAAATAATTACTTATCTATTGATAAATTAATATTGGAATAATGTCTCTTAAATTAATTGAAATGTTTGTACAGACTTTTTTTTACAGAGAAGCTAACCTGACGTCAAACGATAAAAAATTTACACGATCTAAATTTATAAAAACACCGAACAAAGTCATTTTGCCTGACCTGATGTGTCAAGTTTCTTGTAAAAAGTCCACTTATTTGTATTTATTCTGTTTTCTAAGAAGAATCACTACTTTCAACCGGCATTAGCGATAATAACAAAACCATTAGAGACGAACTTCAGCGCAAACAAATGCCGTACACAACAATCATGAAGTTAGGGAAATGATAAGTGAATCTCGAAGTCGGCCATTATGAATACAACGTGAATCAAATACGTAACCGTCGAAGTCAAGTTTATGTTGGTTAAAATAGAAACTCGATTTTTTTTATTTTTTTTTTTTTTTGATTAATTTTCATTATCGTTATATTTAACATTTACAAGCGATTTTCATTATTATTTAAACGCGTTTAATTGACACACACACACACACACACACACAAAACTGGCTGATGAAATAATCGTTAACCTAACTTTTACATACCATAGGAAATGAATACAAATAAATGAAATATGTATACTTTTTACTTCAAGGAAATCATAAACATATTACAGTGAAAGTAAAATAATTGAGATATATATATATATATATTATTTGCTTTTAAAGAATAATAAACATATATTTTTATTACTTATCAAATAATATGACAATACTATTACTTTAAGTCAAACTTTCTTAGTTGGATAAACAACATATTGCTTGGAAATAAATAAGAAATAGAAAAATAAAAGAAAGCTAATCAACGTGCTCGTGCTGCGCGTTACTTTCTCGCCATGTATTTTGAACTAATTCAATGAATTGTTGCCACCATCTGCTTTTAGATGTAAAATATAAAGCGCATGCAGCAATGAAAATCCAAGATAGTACTAAACAATAATCGGTTTCATTGGAAGGTGTGCTAGGTACTGGACCGCTGAAGTCTGCAGATGTAACCAACAAAAAACTACTCGGATAAAATACAGTAAAATGCATAATAAGTCTTGCGAATAACTCCAATTTGTAAACGGTGCCATTAAACTTAGCTATGGGTTTCCCATTGTGTACTAGCATCAATGTTGGTACTCCTACTATGCCGTATTGTGCATTGAAGCTACAAATGAAAAAAGAGCAACAATTTAGAGGATAAATATTGTGTAATAGATTGAAATAGATTTCTTATTGTGATCTATTAATGAAGTACCTTTGATGTCTTATCGCATCTATAGCTACGCATTTAATGTGAGGAAATAATCTTGCCAATGCATTGAAGTGCGGTGCTGCTTGACTACTAAAAACACACCATCTAGCATAAAACAAAACTAGCACGCATGTTCCTGGTTGTTGTCTACCATTTTGATCATTCCTAGTTCGATTTGATGGTCCAGGCTCTAAGATTAGCAATTCCATAAGTCTTGTCGCATTGACTAACTACAAATAATATTACATAATATTACATACGATTACGATTTTGGATTTTAAATTTATCTAGAAGAAATAAGTAATTGTGGTAAGCCGTCTTACTTCCACCGATCCATAAATTTTATCGGTTAAACAATTGAGTTTAGTCGTTTTATGCAGAGAACTATTTTTTAATGACATATTTGTCATTGGTTCCAAAACTTCTTGATCGCTTACATCATTATCTTTAGTTATATACATTTTATCTGCATCCTCGTCAGAGAGATGATCCTCGGATTTGGTTTCTACAGCACATTCGTCGGTCTGTCCTAATACACTTATTATCGAAGCTATATAATATCAATAACAATAATAATTATATTAACAAATTGATTCTTATCATTCAGATCATTTTATTATTTGCATTCTATTTAAATATTTAAAATTCTCACCTAGGACTAGTATAAATAAACTTAAACTTTTTCCAAAAATATACATTTTACATTTATAAATATACATATATATATATACATATACATAACCTAATTATTAGGTTATATACATATATATATATATATATATATAACCTCTAATGGTGCAAATTAAACATTTATCTATTAGAAAAAAGTACAGAGAAAATAATTTAATCGAAAAATTTATTCACACACAGGAAGCCCCACATGAAATAATGCAAGGTTAACGTATAACTGTATTTGAAAGATAATTAACGATTTTCAATTGATCCAAATATTTTGGCATTAGTTTCATTTTCACTTATTGTTAGCGTTTATTAATCATTGACTCTTGTCGTTTATAGAGAGAATCGACTGTCCAAAAGAACCATTAACAATATCAATGACAGATGATGTGCCAAATGTCAAGTAAAGGAGGAATAAACGATGAACGCTGATTGGTTGAATATTCGGCGGGTAAATAGTCAAATATTCAAGCGAATATTATGAATGTCTTTGAAGTAGATGTGAAATTTCTAATACTTGCCCAAGATTGAAATATTTCTCTTATTAAAATTGTCATGTTAAAAAGGAATGATATGATATAAATAAGATAAATATATTTGCCAGCATATTTGCCACGTAGGAAGAAGAAGAGGTTATATAGTTTTTTAATGAGAGCAGAGAGCCCTCTCTAGTTGTTTCGCTCATTTCTCTTGTCAATGTTCGATATAGATTTAACAGTTGCCGGTGGATGTTTGCTTGCTTGATTACTTGCTTACTTGCTTACTTGCTTGCTGCGATGACAAGCAAAGAGTAATTTTAAAGTTATCTTGTTTTGTTGATTTTCTTATAGTCATTTACACTACTGGATTATATATTTTTTATTACGTAGTCAATATAGAACAACAATTTAAATACGAATACAAACATAAAATGTATACAACACTCGGAAGCAGTAAAGTGCATAAAATGCATACGAATGCAGTATTAATTTCACTATTATTGTCACGTCGCATTAAGGACCATGCTGCGAGGTAAACATTTAAACGATTACGGTGAACTCTTAATCTGTCATTAAAAATATACCAAAACATGTCTATTTTTATAAATACGAAATCAATTGGTGTACCTGAGTGAATGATATTAAACGATCGATGAGATTAAATCGCTATGGACCGATTGATTAATATAACATGTCAATATTTTAATATGGTATGTATATTTGAATGATATCTATACATTGTTTAATATTTTTGATACACACAACACATTATTTATGCGTATCCTGTAATCTTCAAATAATTAGGGATAACTATACTACTTTGATACATTTTTTTAATTGTTCCTATCTAAAAACAAAAAAACCAAACAAAAAAAATGATAAATTTAATTAGCAAGAATAAAATATATAAATGTGAACACGTAGAAATATAGAAATATGTTTCCGGTACATATTGCAAAATCAGCCATGAGTCATATTTCTCTTTAGTTTACATTTGCTCTTTGCAAATGCATTCAGCTGTCCATGCATGACCTTGCAAAGTTAAACATGCATGAATAGTATAATTTATATTGTTTGTATGTGAAGATACAAGCATATGAGGAACATTACATTGCATAAGAGGAATTGTATGTAACATATTAACAATGCACATAATGCTCATTTACAATATTATTTATATATGTTTATATATGGTAGGTTACACTTCATTCTTATTTGTATATTGATAATACTTGACGTAGTTGAGCAATGGAATGGTGTGCTACAATAAGGCACAATTGTATCTTTCATCGGATCATTTTAGTTTAGCTTTTGTTGTATCATTATTATTTCTAAGAATTATTCATGACACTATCACATTATTTAGTGCAAATAAAAAGAAAGATAATATAAGTAATCATCGATCAATTATACATTTGAAACATACTATACTGTATTTTATTGAGCATTTATTAATTTCTAAAATATCACATTTTCTAATTACTTCCCTCCCCACCCACATTGACATTTGATTATTTTGTCGATTATGATGATAATATGGAGCGAGGAGAATCGGAATCGAATTATTGAAAAATATATTACTATGTCAATAATAGAAATAGTAGAAATGATGACGCGATAAAGATACATGGTGAAGAATACCAAAGAAAAACGCGTGAAATGATGTAGAAAAATTACCTCGTTATAAATAGATAAGATAAGGCGAACAAGTCCATTATTATTATATATCCAATATTTTTACTTATCTTATTATATTTCGCTGAAAACTCGTCAGCAGCAAAAGAAATTTGAATATTTCATATTGAAATAATCAGTGATCGTTAATGTTGCTAACCAAATATTCCAGACAATTGTAAGCAAGCAAAATATCATGATTTTCTATACGTAAGCAATCAACTGTACAAGAAGAACAAATAAATATTATCAAATGCGGTGCAGAATATATATATAGAATAGAATGCTTGTCTCTTGATTAAGATAATAAAAGATAATAAAAAATCAACTGTTTCATTTAATATCATGGTTCAGCAACGATTTTCAAGTTTTGATGGTAATTATGATTATTTAATGTTATTTATTACTAATTCCTACTTAAATATTCCATGGGAATTGTTCAATATATCATCTTTGAATAATAATAATAATAATAATAATAATAATGAATAATTAATGTAACGTATTAAATGAACAATGACAAAATGGCATGTTTAGGTGGACGAAGTGGACGCCGCTTTGTTATAACTCTGTCAGCTGGCACAGTCATTGGCTTTTTAACAGCATGCCTTCTTTTTTCCTCTGCTGGAGAAATATCTCATATATTTACACGAATTCCTGGACGTTCATCTCTGATAAGAGACCCGCATCATTATTCAGAACTTGAGCCAGAGGTATTACTTTGAAATGAAAATGTTGAAAGCATGATTTTTCTTCCATTGATATTTGGAATGTTACATTAGGTTGGACCAGACATAGAAGTCAAATTTCACAGTGAGAATGAAGATTTTCATAAAGGAGAAGATAAGGTAGCACAAGCATTGGCTAAAAAAGTTCGTGTCCTTTGTTGGATTATGACTGGACCAAAAAATCATCAAAGTAAGGCTCGGCATGTCAAAGCCACATGGGGAAAACGCTGTAATATTCTTTTATTTATGAGTTCTGCGGAAGGTACGTAATGAAAGCATTTCAAGCATAGTGATATTTTTCTTACTTTATATTTTTTGTTCTTTCCTTATTTCAATATGTATCATTGTATAACAATAATTCATATCTGTAACAATAATTCATCATTTTTATGCAACAAGTGTAAGTAAATGAAATATATGAAAAAATAAACAAAGAAAACAGTTGCTATCAAACGAAATGATAATATATTTACATAATATTTCATTATTTTATCATTATCTTGTCATTATTTTATCATTATCTTGTCATTATTTTCAGATTTAAGTTTACCCACTGTAGTGCTACCAGTAAAAGAAGGCAGAGATAATCTGTGGGCTAAAACCAAAGAAGCATTTAAATATGCTTATGAAAAGTACAAAGATCAAGTAGATTGGTTCATGAAGGCTGATGATGACACGTTAGTAAAATTTCATTTACTTCTGTTCGATAAAAATATTTCCTATTATAAATTATATCTACATATCACAATTGTGATGAATATTATTTATAATATGTAATATTAGAGAGGGAGAGCGAGAGCGAGAGGGAGAGGGAGAGAGAGAGAATAATATATATATGTAGATATTTTGGTTAAACGCATTATGTAATCGACAATTCCAGGTACGTTGTGGTTGAAAATCTCCGTTACATGCTATCATCTTACAACCCAAGTATGCCATTGTATTTTGGATGTAGATTCAAACCTTTTGTAAAGCAAGGATATATGAGCGGAGGTGCTGGATACGTAGTTAGCAAAGAAGGTCTTCGTAAATTTGTAACGGAAGGTCTTCCCGACAAAACCAAGTGTCGTGCTGATAACGGTGGTGCGGAGGATGTCGAAATGGGAAAGTGTCTAGAAAAAATTGGCGTTCGCGCGATGGATACTAGAGACTCGCATGGCCGTGGAAGGTTCTTTCCATTTGTGCCAGAGCATCATTTAATACCTAATCATGTGGATAAAAATTTTTGGTACTGGAAATACATCTATTATGATACCAAAGATGGATTCGATTGCTGTTCCGATAGTGCGATATCGTTTCATTATGTTTCGCCGAATATGATGTACGTCCTTGAATATTTAATATATCACTTAAGACCATATGGCATTAACCATGGCTTGGAAAATCCTTTGCCAGAGATGCCATCTACATTGACCGAATACTAGTCTATACTTTGTCAAAATTAGAAAGTATGGAAGAAGAGATACGTATATACATTTATATATCTTTTTTCTATATGCATTGCTAGTCTGTTCCAACCATCAATTTGAACAAGTTGATAGCATGAATAAATAGTATAGAACATTATATAAAATACAAAAACATGTGATAAATTATACTTCGTCATATTAACACGTTTATACGAATGTAATTTGAATATTAGGAAGTTGTAGTTCTATTAAAATTTCTAGTTGTACAAGGTGCAATGATGCCGCCGTCGCCGCCGACGCCGCCATCGTCGTCGTCGTCGTCGCCGCCGTCGCCGCCGCTGCCTTGCTCTTTATCTACATTCATCAAATAATAAAATTCTAATATGTCTCTTTCTATTTTACTTTGTTGTATTTTGTTTCTATTAAGGGTTGAGTAAATGGTTAAATACGTATGTGTGTGTGTGTGATTGTGTGTTGTTGCATCAAGTGTAACCGTTTGTTTAAGCGAAGGCTGCAGACACAATGAATTAAAATAGAGATGAGGCGTTATTAACCAAATAAACAGAAAGAAAAAAAAAACAAAACATACATTTATAATAGAAAAATGTTAATGGTAAGAGCACAATTTAGGAGACTAGACTACTATAGAGTAATTAATAAATTAGTAATGTCAACAAAGTAACATACAAACTCTTTTCTATAAAAGCACAATTTTAAACAAATTAGTGCCACAATAGACCATGATTGCTGGGAGAATCCTTATTTCTTGCTAGTCGCACACACTATTGTGCTTCACGCGTTCTAGTCTCATCGCTAACCTCGTCACTATCAACTTTATTATGTTTGCTGCCTTGGACTATGTCCAATGTGCATCATCAACAATCAATGTGTACAAATATATCCATACGATATGATAACGACTACTACTTTTGCGTATAGTAATAGTTCGGCGAAACAAACCGTGTACCGGCGAAAGGAAAATAAAATTCATATAAAATTATAGGCTCCAAACTCAATGAGGTTACTCTAAATTAAAAAAATATTATAATTTTTGATTTATAATTTTTGATTGACAGGAAGAATCGCATGTACAGGATACACACGTACATTTTGGTTGTTTATACATTGAACATAGTATAAGAATGAGGATAGGTATATATATTGCAAGCATAGCAGAAATTTGCTAATCCTTCAGTCCAAAATTTTATTCAAATTGGTACACTCTTAGGGATCGTTTAAAGCGTACCATATTGTTGTTACATAACATGGTAACATTGTCATATTATTATCTAATGTGTGAACTGAAAGATGATGTATATCTTATGTGAATATACATGCCATAAGAAATAAAACCTTGTTTTTAATGATACCGCTATCCTTGTGTACAAAATAACTCACTCAAGATGATATAGGCACCTTTCTAGAAGCTCATTAATCATTCATGTTACATCAGATAATATGAAAAAAAGCTTGCAAACATTTTTTTTATACAATTTTTCATAGATTGTGTAATATTTTGGTCACCGATATGTTATCACATGTACTTGCGCACACAACTTATGAATATCAGTACAATAATTAAACTTTAGAACATTAGAGAACATTTAACAAGGCACGCTTCCACTATGCTTGCTATATAAATTTAAAACACATATTAAATATATACATACATACATACATACATACATACATATATTATACATATTTTAATATTTATATATATATGTATATGCATATGTATGTACGTGTTTGTGTGTCGTGTGTATAGATATATACACATAAAACTATATATTGTAATATAATAATAATAATAATAGAATAATAGAATAATAATAATAATAATAATAATAATAATAATAAAAATAAAATAATCCCAATAATTGCTACCCAGGTAATAAATACTATAGATACAGTGTGAGTGTGGGCGTGAGTAAATTAACCAATTAGTTAGGGAGTAGGGTTTCTATGTACAAGTCATATTTGTACTATGCGACTGACGCAATTGGCCACCATGGCTCCACTCAAACGAGCCCCATATTCTTTCTTTGTCTTTTTAGCTGCAAAAGAAGACTCTCGCATTCTCTCTCTCTTTCTCTCTCTCTTTTCGTTCACGCATCAATCACCATGCATACATACACGCATGCACGCACGCATGCACGCACGCACGCACGCACGCGTGCGCGCAAACCACACAGACAGACATTCCTTTTTCTTTTTGACTTATCCCCGTCTCATTAAATTATCTAATCTCGGCGATATCTCACTTCATAAATTATTTAAAAACAATATTTTACACTATAATGTATGTATAATATGAGGTCACCTAATTCGAATAAAATTTGTCAAACAGCATCGAAAATCTGCGCTAATGGGCCTAGGAAACATGATAACAGCGACCCAATACCGCGCGAGCATAATATATATTTGTCATATTTTATCTCACGCCTTATAGGGGCTTATACGAGGCATTATAAAAACGAAGTTCTCCCTCCCATTTTATATTATCTATATAAAATTAAAAAACAACGTAATATCATTTTATATTACTTCGTCGTTATTACTAATAAAAACTTTGTACAAAATTTAATTTACAATTAAAAACTTGGTACATAACATTCTAGAGATTCTTCTGATTTATAATTGAACTATCTATCAGCAGAGAGGCGCATATGCAGCAAATGATCCTTCTTTATATATCCTCTCTTTCTTATTTCCCTTAGAGCTTTTTATTCACATTAATACGCTCCTTTACAAACAACACATACGTTATTTCTTATTTTTTCTTTGCGCATAAATATTTTCCTCAACGGCATGGTCATTGATTTATAATTTGTTTGCTTTTTCTTTTTCTTTTTTTTTTTTCTTCTTTTCTTCTTTTTTTCTTCTTTTCTTCTTTTCTTGCTTTTTTTTTTTTTTGTATCACATTTGTAAACATAAATTACAAATCTATTTTTCATTTGTGGGCTAGAATAGAAAATTGTAAAGGGACTTGTCATGCTGTTTCTTACGACCTGCTGTTTGTTTATAATGCATTACACTTTACATCATTCTTTAAATACTCCTTCTTGTAACAAAGCCATATTATTTGTTCATATTATGGTTTCATTAACAACTGGTCGAAAACTCGTTCTCAGTATTCGAACGATATCCTACATTTCTAATGCATGAGAGAAATTGCCCATATAGAACCAATTGCTCTCGTAAAGCCCCAAATGACATTATAATAAGGAGTGCGTGAGAGAAGTGGTGCACATGCTGCACTGTAAAGGGAGAGGACGAGGGTGTGGGTCAGACGAGAGCTGCCGCTGCGTGGTAGAGCTGCATGAGCGCCTGTACGTGCACCGGTAAACAGGATAATCGATCCTTGGTGTTTGCATCGATTGCGAGCCATGACAATGCGTTATATCCTTCCAAAACGTACCTAAGAATTAATGAAAGGTAATGAAAATTATATATATATATATATATATATACCTAATAAATATAATGCAGGGGCTATATATATATATATTTGCTTATATAGCCTTCAGGCTTTATCCAAAATTGTCGATATAAACCTGAGTACATCGGTGGTATATTGCGAATCAAGTGGATGAGCAGTGAGGGCACTTTGCTGTTGAAGGAGATCCTCAGTACTTTGTTGAATCGAGGGACTATGCAGATGTAAAGCATTTTTCAAAAAAGCTGGACAAACTTCCTCGAGGTGTGGGCAAGCTGCCCAAAACCATGGTGGCATTCGTCCCGTTGGTGCAGTAGACACCATATAACCAAGAGCAAGCGGCTGTTGCAAAAGCGTACCAACTTCTTCCGATTGTTCAGCAACGGCTACCTATAAAATACAATATTTCAAAGACGTCGAATATAAACAATAAGAAATAAATTACACTAATAAATTTGGTGGAAGAAAAGAAAGACGAAAGAATAATTCACTTACTCTGGATGCATTACTGCATTGAAAAGGGCTGCCTGGTCCATCGTGATTGCCTAAACCAGAACCACCGCCGTCTCCTCCTAACGGGGATCCTTCGGGACGATGAGGACTTCCGCTAGGGCTTTGGCCACCACCTGCACCCGCTTCGGGCCATACATTAAAAATATCATTGAAATCTCCCATGCCTTCCATGGCTTCTGGCATGTCATCATTCAAAGCAGAAAATAATTCGTCGTCTCCTAATTCTGGTCCATTTATATGTTGTTCTTGAAAGGCAGTCTGGGATGACTAGAAATACAATACAATAAGTAAGTAAGTAAGCAAGTAAGCAAGTAAGTAATTACAGTAAGCTCAAATTGACGGTAAAAATGTGTAAAAGCAAGTAGACACTAATCAGTTACCTGAGTAGTAGCCGACGTAGGAAAAACAAGGATATGAGTACATGTAACATCTTGTGGTGTGGATAATTGGCAGTTTACTGATGCTTGGCTAAACCTTTCATCAGGGGTAAATTGGTCGGCCATTAGTCTGAGAGTAGAATCAGGTTCTAGGGATACTAAACATGCGCTTAGTACACAGGGTGCTGCTGACGGATATAAAAGACTGCATTGTCCACATATTTCTTTCAAATGTTTCGAAGCTTTTAAAAGGGCTTTTCTAGAAAGTAGCCAGCTCCAACCTTTCAATTCTCCATGTCCTATACGCCCAACACGACCTACAACTAATCTCCACGGTTGCACCTAGAAACAAAATCCTATATGTCCTAAACGAGGAAAAGGAAAGTATAAAACAAGTATAAACCAAGTATAAACCAAGGAAGTTTATCTTGCCTAAATACTTACACCTTGAGACATCACACCAAGAATAAAGTCCATAAGTTTTTGTAATCCAATTCTTCTGGCAGATGCACGTTTTCTTCGTTTCCTATTAGGTATGTCAATGTTAATGGTAGCAGTTTCAAATATTTCCCCTCTATCGTCCGTTGCCACGGCCAACAACCAGGATTGATCTTCGCTGAGGCAATAACTCAAATACAGTACAGCACATTCTTCTGGTCCAGCAATTCCAAATGATTCCGGAGCCTCGCTTTTAGCTCTTAAAGGGGCCAATACGTAAGCTGGTGCGTACAGTCGGTACGGTGCTTTGTTCCGTTCCTGAGTTGTCAAGGAGTTGTAAAGTAAAAAATCCTTATTATTTCATTATTTTTCTCTTAAGTTTCTAAACGAAACTTATAAAAATATGAGGAGTGAGTGGTGTACTTACATCTTTACTTTTCAGGAATAAGTCTGCGGCGGCTGCGGTACCAAAACCGGTAAGACTCTTTACTGTGGAATTATGGTTGAGCAAACGACGTCCTTGAAGAAACACGTTCAAAGCCAAAGCTCTCATCTCATCTTCTTTCTTTCTCCTTTCTCTTGCCCGACCTAATTCCATTATGCTTTCCAGCGATATTAACTATTAACATCAAAAATTAATATTTAATACAATTTAATACAATTTAATACAATTTAATACAATTTAAACAATTTATTTCTTCTGTATGTAATGATTTCAAGTAATTCAAAGCAAAGACATTCATCATTCAATCAAGATTACCTGAACATTTATGTTAGATCTAATATTTTCAGGCATGCTATTCACAGCAGTTGAATACGCCCGTAAAAGAGCCAGTATAGCGAGCCGTCGACGATCTGAATCTTCAGGTCCTCCCAAAGAGAATGGTTCAATTAAATAAACAACAACAGCTGGTGATTCGACTTCCTCCTCGTCAGGTCCTATTGTCGTTGTTGAATTTCCGCTTGACAATTGCGGAGTCGGTGTAGTATTACCGATATTCGAATTTGGATTCGATGTATTCGAGGGAGTCTCGCTTCTTGGATTTTCGCTTTCTGTATACAATAAGATCAAATAATATTTCAAATAAATGTCATTAATCGTAAGTAGCAGGCGGGAGTACGTACCAACTGATTCTGGCTTTGTTGTCATGACATCAGGCGTTGCTGGCATTGTATCGGTAACAGGAGTAGTCGTTTGCTGTTGCTGTTGTTGTTGTTGTTGTTGCTGCTGTTGTTGCTTATTTGGTAATTGAACATCGCCAGGATCTAATAAACTTCGATCTTGTATAACCTGGGTCAAATAAGGTGCCAGCCGATGATTACACACTTGAGCATACAATCGCAACAATTCTCCTATTCGATTTTCACCAAGACACTTGAACCAATCATCGATCGGTTGCTTCGATAACTTTTGTGCCGATGATTTACCCACGCGAAGAATTCCGTCGCGTAATAATTTTGAAATGGACGTATGTCTTCCAAATCGACAGATCTAGAAAGTAAATAGAAGAGAGATGTGTATGTAGATGCGTGCATTCGTTTAGGATGCAATTCGATTATCTTTCCTAGTTCTATAAACATTTTCTATAAACATACTGAACAGATAAATAATATAAATGATAGGTACGTACTTCGTAAGTGGTTGAGAGTTCACGGAAAAATGATTTGACTTTGCTGACTACACAATCGCTATCCGGCGCAACAACAACGTAAGCGATATCCCTCGGGCCAGCGTACGGTTCCAACAATAGTTTCTCCCAATAACCAAGAGCATAAGGTGCTAATGACAGCCAATCTCTATCGTATCCTACAACGAGCGCGGGTATCGGTTGTGGTTCGCAACGATCGTCAGTTCCACGTCCAGCCAAACGATGAAATTGTCTCCAAGTAAGAGGTCCAGCTACAGTATAAGGAGCTTCCCACATTCTGGTAGTACATTTTTTCTGTACCGCATCTTGCAGAAGTGGCTGCAGGGCTCTCATCATTCTAACGATATCACCGCTACACTGAGGACCCCGAGCTCTTAGAAATACCCAACGGTGTATGCCATTAACGCGATTAGTCCTTTCACTATGCGTAGTATCGATCTTTCCCTGATCCAATGCTGCGAGGGAAACTTCGTTGCCATCATTAAATTCGAGAGTATTTACCGTTGGCGCGTGCATAGGATAACTTTTCGTACTGGCATAATTTCTTGCCGCTCTGTAAAGACTGCTCGCAGAACTTTGTACCAACAAGCATTGCTCTCGAAGTAATTCCAAGACGTTAGAAGGTATAACGTCTAATCCTTCGACCGATTTACCTCCGTTACACGCCACCAATCCAAGCGATCCTTTCTTTTTATCCGTCGGATCTTCGGCAATTCCCGTTATTTCCATCTCATCTTCATAAAACAATCCTGCTTTATGAGCTAATCGCCTATTCACTACAGCACTAAAGCCACAGCTGCACCTGATTTGATCGTCATCTTGAATCAAAGCACTACCATTTCCCCAAGAGTTCGTTAAATAAACACCTGCATCGGCACCTTTTATGTTACCAACGACTTTTGGACCTGCATTGCATACGCATAGACTGCAACTATCGAAATTATGATCGCGGAAAATATTTAATGCCGTATCACCCAAAAGTATATTCACTACGAGAGAATTGGATTCCGGTGCACGAGTTGGGCCCGGAGTGTCTGCCTCAATACTATTTAAATTCTTATTTAAATACGAAGATGTTGTGGAAGTAGCTGGGCTCGGTTGGTCATACGGCGGTGGTGGCGGCCTACCCGGAAGAGTAGTCGTACGGTATGGAGCGCCTAATGGCGCTGGGCTCGGTGGGCAAGGTTGTTGTTGTTGTTGTTGCTGTTGCTGTTGTTGTTGTTGCTGTTGTTGTTGCTGTTGCTGTTGTTGTTGTTGTTGTTGCTGCTGCTGTTGTTGTTGTTGTTGTTGTTGAACAGATCCGGGTCTAGACGGTGGAAGAGGTTTATCCGAATTGATGGAAGTCGAACTACACTGCCAGGAAGGTCTGTACACGCAGTGCGATGGCAGTGTAACAGGTGGAAGGGATTGGCTAGGCAAATTTGTAAGTGGGGCATATTTGGAAGAACCAACCATCTTGCAAATGGGAGCTGGCTTGAACACGAATGACCAATCGTCGATTGGTTCTTCTTGCGGTGATCCCATATTAGGATAAATATCCGGGAGATGTCTGAGTGGACGTTGCGGAACCGAGAGATCGGTTTGATCTGCAAGCGGATCGCTCAACTGGCACGGCGAAGCGACCGGATTGTGCTCCAAAGATGGTGGCGTTGGAAACATTTTGGAGAGTTCTTCGGGTCGTAATACTCCTACACCACGATTGTTGTGCTTATTTGTACCGTCTATCCTTGTCTCTTCGTGCATGCCACCCGATTTATTGGAACCCGGTGGTGTTTGGACTTGGAGCTGATTTAAGTTCTGAAACTATATGTTTTTATATTTATGCTTAAACAAACGTTCGAATATAATGGAAGAATAAACTTACGGTCTCATCGCTCGAAGTGTCAGGATCAGAATTATCGAATATTTGATCTAAATCCTTATAAGACGCTTGAAGACCTTCGCTAGTAAATAAAGATCCTGGCTTAGGTGGATCGTCTCTTTGCCGTCTTAATCCGTCGACGTTGGTATTATTCTCTTCCCCCATAGCATCAAATTCGTAAGGATCCGATCTTCTTCCGATACAATCGCTCTGCGTGTAACAACAACAACAACAATAACAACAACAATAACAACAACAACACATAGTAAATGTTGTAATTATAAATAATTAATCAAAGAGGATAAAGAAGAACAATTAGAAGGCACACGTACTGTTGTTACGTTTGGTTCCTGTTTAATTTCTAATTTTGGTGCTTGAGGTTGTTGTAAAGCTTGCAAATTCATCGGTGGATATAGAGTGTTACTTCGAACATTAGTTGGACCGCTCGTTGAACCTTTAAAACGTTTCACAGGATGACTGAGCCAAGCTTCTTGCGTTGAATAATCATAAAGCCAAGACAAAGGTTGTTCATCTTCTAAAAGAGCACCTTCGTATTCTCTAGAGGCTAAGATTGGTCGTTTTAATGTTTGCCCAGGTAAAGGACTATGTGCCTGGTTATTACATGCAGAAGATGCCGATTTTGGACCTTGTGACGGAGTTAAAGGAGGGGCAGTGTTTGTGTGACTGGGTGGTGGTTGTGGACTGAGCGTAGGCATAGTCGGTTCCGCTGGTGGAACCGATGCAGGCTCAGAATGCGGAGTTGGAAGTGGAGATGGTGCCGGCGATCCTGGCGATCCCACCGATGGAACCGGTAAACAATCTCCTCCGGTGGGTGGACCTCTCGAATAAGATGGTGGTCCTTCTGGTGGTGTACTCGGTGCTTCTACTCTGCTCAATACGGACCTATTTTATTGGAACAATAAATCAAACGATTAATGCGAATACAATATCTAACGTCTTAATTAAATACAAGAGACAATATTATAAATATACTAAAGATATATCTTATCATTTATCCTTTCCTCCTTCCCAATAAGTTTATGAACTATTTTTACATGCTTATATGGTTAGAATTATTAACGATATTATTATTATAGCATATCTATACGTCTATATATATATCTATATATATATATATATCTCTTTATACGCACAGATATTATAAACTAAACAATGAATTAAAGCATGCTGAAATTTAATATGTTAATAGATCGATTGTCTATACATTACTACTATGTATATGATATAGAATGACTGTTATATGAAACATAAAATGACAAACATTCATGCTTAACTTTATATTTTGTTAGTAACATGTATTACGATGATATATAATATCAATAATCATGCAAGTATATTACATTTTGACAAATATACACAAAAATTGAATACACTTCACATAAGTGTGAAAAGATTACAAAATTCATATAATATAAAAATTGTATGAAATTATTACAGAAAGCAACACGAATGGAATAATATATGCATTTCATCGTATCGGTGCACAATGAAATAAGCGCAAATAATATCCAATTTCATAATATAAACTTTATTATTTATTTTTAAATGATATAAAAAAATAACCCACATATAAAATGAACATACAAATGTACAAGAAAAAATGGTTTCTATTGAATTATTTTAGTTTTTTCTACGAGTATACTTACTAATTGATTTCTTTTCTACACCCATAGTAATGTTTTATAGAAAAAAAATATACGAATTGTCTAAATAATGATAGAGTTTTGATCAGGAAATATTTCCTCTTCTATATTGTTAAAAAGATGACGACGTACTGATAATATCCAGTTTCAGCATATTAGTTATGACTTAAGTGCTAAAATTAACACACATGCCTGAAGAGAAGCAATCGTCGTATGAAATTGAATTATTGTATTACAATGCATTAAATTCGGTTACTTGTATGATTTGTATATATGTATATGTATATGTATATGTATATGTATATATATATCATATAAATATATATGGTATAATAATATATGACAGAGCTGATGTGGAAGCAGTGAATTGAAGGATGATGAATTAATGGTTTTGATGAATTAATGGCCTTTTTCGACCATTTGCAATTATTGGTAGTGCACGATAATATGATACAGCATAGATTTCTTGATATCGGGGCAGAAATTACCCACCTGGGGGCACTAGCAGGAACAGAGGGGCAAGCATCCCACTGGGTGGTAGAGCGTCGATGAAATGGTACGACCCTCCGTCCACCTTTATCTACTCTCTCCCTCTGAACCTGTGAGGAGACCAGGCCCTTCCAACCCCCGGGGTTGGTATACCTGCAACCGATGTGTTTAACATCTTGTTTCTTTTTTTTTTCCTTTAGTGATATATTATGTTCTCATTGGTTCCGTAGGGTCCTGAAGCATAACTCGTATCAAAAAGTTATACCTTATATGTGCCGAATCGATAATACCATAATATCACAAGTTTCAACAAATATTTGCTATATCTTGCTTGTTATGTTATACGAATCATCATTTCTTACGATCTCATAGGTATGTATATAAATGAATTTATAAACATCTATCATATATATTTCGCTAACTTGCATAATTTGATATAATTTGATAATTGTAAATCTACTTGAATAGGTAAAAGTTGCATTAAACCCTTTCAAAGAGCTTTATTTTACATGCACACATTGCAGAAGCAGCCATTCAAAACTACTATCTGCACTCAAACATTTCCACGCGCGATCTACGTTTTATAAAATTATACTCACTAACATGCAAAAAAAAAAAAATGGTTCTATCGTTGACACTATCAAGTATACATACACTCGTAATTTACTGATACTTATTATACACAAACCAAATGAAATAAAAACACGAACTCTTTACAAAGGATTTGTAAAGAATTGAGAACATTTCAATCTTCAATCTTATAGATTGATCGATAAATAATCGATAAATATTACTTTATATGTGTGTTACATTGCACAATAATACTGACATAGTCGTCAACGTTACAGAACCTACTAGTGTAAGTCATGCTTCAAATAAATCCTAAATATACTTAAAACAACAGTGCACCTGTGATAGATATTATAAGAATAATATAGAATGCAAATATGTATATATATATATATGCAAAATCACACACATTTTATAAAACAGTTGTCCTGTTATCATAATAATCGATCTATTAGTAATATATATTTTTTAGAAATCCAATTTATTGAAAATAAATATATATTGAAATTGACATATATTGCACTGTTATAGGGCGCAGAGCACGATTAGAAGAAAACTCGAATTGATCATATTATTGATAGACGTTTTTGTCATTATAAAGGATTCATTTATAAATTATAGTACGTATGGAAGTGCACATATAAAAATAAGTGAAAAATCACTTGGTTGGATGTTAAAAAATAATTTGACTTACTTAGAGCAAGTACAGGAAGCCTTTTGCGTCGGTTCAACAAATGTCCAAGTTCCAAGTTCTGTGGAAGATTCTGTCTTGGAAGCGGATGCCGGCGAACTTAAAGTACATTCTGCCCATACACGTTCTGGTAATTCCGTGGCAGCTCCAAAATCTTGTTCAATGGGAAAAGAATTTTCACAACTAATAGGACTATTTGGTGGCGATAATGGAGCACCCGGTGGTATATCGTCCATATCCGTAACTAATACATAACATGAAGGATAACGCATGCGTACACCACCAACGAGAACTTCCACGAGCGGTGATAATCCTGTTTCCGCGTTATTATTATTAATCGGATAGAAATGTTTCCATTCTTCCAGAAGCTGACTATCCATTCGTCCAACTTGGCCTGTTAAAGTTCCCGCCAATCCATAAGGGGCCAAGATCACTGAGACAAGAAAATCTTAAGTCAAATCTATCAATTCTACAATTTGTTCTCTTCTTCTTCTACTTCTTCTTCTTCTTTTTATTATTATTATTATTATTATTATTATTATTATTATTATTATTATTATTTACCCTTAACGCCGGATTGAGACGTTTGAGTGCGTTGCAAACATGCCCTAGTAAGATGTCGTACTGCGGGATGCTGTCGGACATCCACGCTCGCACATACGGTGCTTTCTCCGTGCACAAAAAATGCGAAGGAGAATGACAAATGGCTACTGTAAAATGAGAAAGGAAAATAAATATTCAAAGAAGAACGAGGTGAATGCTATATTCAATGAAAATGTAAACATGTACCTATTACAACGATGTTTTTCAAAGCCATCGTATGGTTGCACAAACCACCTTCCTAATCGAACAAAGTCACGTGACAATAAGCACCGCTCGATCAAATTATGAAGAGCTTTAAAAAGAAGAGACCGGCATTCGTACGACAAACCACTTTCCCATGATCCTTGTTCACTTTCTGTAATAAACAATAACAAACAGTTCATTTCTTTGTACGATTTAAATAAAGAGAAAACAAAAAAAAAAAAAAACAAAGAACAGGGATACTATTATTCTTACTATCATTGAATGTAAAGCTAATATAAAAAATATGAATTGAATTTAAAGCTTCTTTATTTATTTGGAAAAATGTGAATACTTACTTAATAGGACGTTAAGGCGATATTATTGATTTTTTATGGCAAAGTTATACGCACTAACTTGAACGTGTAAATGTCGCTTTCACTTAAATCGCTTGACAGGTTTCAAACTCGACTCCCTTTACTTGTGAATACTACACACGCTAGCTATTGGATTCTACTCGATTCTCTAAATTGTTTAACTGCTATATCCTCTCTACTGTGAAAACCTTATACCTTAAGATTTTGAACAATTTCAAACAATCCAATCGTTCTCGTGAATTTACGAGCGACATATGTATCGCGGAAAAAAGGAAGGGGCAATGTTTTAGGCTTAACGGTTTACAGTTTGACGATTCGAGTAATCCCGCGCGCACGGTACGCAACGGTGGATCTATAGGTTGCGCTGCAACAAGCTACAAGACAAGTGCATGGTTCAGCGACCCCAGAGTCGGAGCATACCGAGAGAGTGCAAGATGATGCTCGATATTACCGCTTACTTTCAACGTGTGTCTCTATACCTTACCTTCTCCTTCCTCACGATACAACTACTGCAAGGTTACAACGAAAGGTAGTAGTTGTCGCGTCACTTAATCCGCAAGAGCTTTTGCACATATCTAAATTGAATTTTTTCATCGTTTTATTTCATTCTTTTCATCATTCTTTACAGGACTTTTCGCCTTCGGCTACTCTATACTAACACTTCCAAGAACCTTGTCAAAGAACCCCTGACTTTGAAATCAATCAAATGGAAATCAATTTAGATGGAAATAAATAAATAAAACTTTTTCGAACAAAGTAAATCCTACTTCTATAATATTGTTTGATTTCTCGTTCTAGTTGTCGAACATGAATCACTGATCGAAAGAAAAAGGAACGAACGTTGAATTACCTTGTTTCTTGACACTGATAGAAAGTATTCTAAGCTTGTTCTGGATAGATTTCCAATTAACCAACTTCATACATATTGCATAAGGGTTTTCTTTGATATCGCAGCAGGTGTCGCCAATTGTTACATAATAATATTTCACATTAGCTAAGAAATAAAGAAGATAACACTTGGCTATGATTTGTAATATAAAATCTGTACTGGTTGGTTGTGTGGAAATATACAAGTCGATTGGCTTCATGACGACTTCTGTATTCTCTATTTAAAAGGAGAGGATTGGCATTGATGCATCAGAGGACGAACAACGACAGGCACTCACCGCAGGCAATAAGTTCTGGCGAGACGAGACCAGAAAGATCGGGTTCCTCGCCGTACCAAAAAATCCAGAGTTCCTTGGCTGCAGTCAGAGATAGTGGCGGAGGAGCTGGAGAGGGCGCAATGCCCAGTTCGAAGATGCCAGGGCCGGGTCCAGAAGCGGTTGCCGGGCCGCCAGCAGAGGCAGCCGGCGTGGCGGCGACCCTTCGCCACACGCACAGAATGTCACCCGCGAGGCAACGCGAGAAGCTCGACAGTACCGGATCCTCCAGTGGTGTACCCCCGAAACCCCCGGCAACTTCGCCCCACACGAGTTTCCTCCATTTTATACCGCAGAGGTCCGTCTACAATAAACAAACCATCAAACAAACAAAGTCATTTCTACAATTAAATGGTAATTTTTAAATCAAAAGTATTGTTAATGAATCGATTATTTGCCATTATAACAGACTAATCGATATAGAAGGATAAAAAGGCTAAGCAGCATCTAGGCATCTAGGCTAGGTAGCATTGGGCCGCGTCCATTGACGAAAACATGAAAAGTACCCCGCCGTAGCAGCGTTACGGGCCTGTCAAGCTTTGCTGATCAATACAAGCAAGGCGACGTGCAAGGCCGCCCGCGTGGGTTCAACTCGGGGAACCCCCTATGTGCCCCTCTCTCGTTCCATCCTTGCGAGCGCGCCCACCACCGAACCTACCTATCCTCCCCACTCCTTGGCTCTTTCGGAGATCACTGGACGGCGATCCTACGAACGCTAACCTCTCTTTTCTCTTCTCCCCCATTCCCCTACCGTAGCCATTCCCACCGTCTGCCTGTCTCTATCTTACAGAAATGTCCGATTTCACAAAGACCGAATATATCGACGAGTTGAAACACGTTTCAGAGCAATAAATGGACTAGACGACATCAACTATATAGACTAAATTCATGGTCCTAGTATTAATGTATTATATACAAATTAAATCTTTTATTATATATTATATGTGAATCTTGTTTTTATCGCATAAATAATTCTAAGAAAACGTATATTGTAGAAGAATAATACTGCATAGGAAAGAAACAATAAACATTACCTAATATATCCGTAGCATTGAGTGAGTCGTAGTAAAGGTAAACTACATTTTGTTTTACATTCGATTAAAGTTGAGAACCTCGAAAACGGCGGCTAGGGAAGCGCCACGCATGCGCTTTCCCTTGGCATTCGGTCATTTGTTTACACGATGGTAAAACGAATACGCCTGCGCACCGTTCTTCAAGCCGCCGATTCAGTGGTACTCAATATCTTTTGAAAAATCTTTTGAAAAATCTTCATTGACCAAATAGTATATAGGGCATCATCATATTGGCAAACCAAGGAAGTTAACCTTTATCTTTGCGCGGCGCTTGTATATCGAATATAAAACCTTACTGTATAATTTCAAGCCATACATACGTATACTCGTCGTCTGTAATATTACGCTCTGTTACTGTGACATTCTCCTTTAATCTGTCATTAAAGTTAATAAGTGCATGTATGATGGCACTCTTGTAACGAGTATCTTAAATTTATAACTGTATTAAATATACCATCATGGTTTGTTCTTCCTCGCGTTTGGAGTTGAGAGTGCAAACAATTAGAAAGAGAAAGATCGAGGAGTTAAGGAACTTCTAGAAGGGAAAGCCATGGGAGAAGTCTAGAAGTCGAAAGCAGAGCACGATCTCGTCTACGACCGCTAAAGAATAGTTATGTTACTTCTTTTATGTTGACTTTTTTATTGATCCTTCGTATAATGTACAACAGAGTTAAAGTATCTAAACAAACGAATAAAAATCATCTAAACTGACTTACAATAAAGAATTTTTCCTGAGTACGTGATATAAAAATGAAAATACATTAGCTTACATCTCACATCGTTCAGTGATGTGAATCGTTCTTTGCGTGCAAACTGCAATGACAAAATATATCTAACGTAGTCATGGGTGGGAGAAAAGAAACTTATTAATTGGAAATGATAATTCTCCTACTTCCACCACGATGGACAAGAAGAGTGCTATCCTTTAAAAAACAATCTATCCGGGAGCGAAAATTTTATTTAATTGTTTCCATGCTGTTCATAAGTCACAAAGTAAATAAATACTAAGAACAAGTCGATGCACTCGTTTGCGATTACTCCCAATCGCCTACTATATTAATTTAACTAACATAAGCCTCCTCCTCCTCCTCCTCCTCCTCAACTTTAAGATCATATTAGAAATTTCAGAAAAAAATCACGTTCTAGTTATCAAGGAAATTTCACTCAATGTTTCTTCAAGTATATAAAGAAGAATTAAAAACTACACGGCTGCCGCGCGTGAATTTGAGTGAATGACGAATGAAGCAATTCTATAAATTGTTCATCGCTTTTTGCGAATAGACAGAGACAGAAGTAAACGAATAAGGATAAGGACAAGTGAGCTAACCTCAGCCTTCCTCTTCAGCGATCGAATGAACAACAAGGGGATTCTTAAAAAGGTCAGAAAACGACAATGAATAAAAGAAACAAGATGTTGGATCTAGTAGTGTTTGGTAATGCTGCGAATAGAAGAAAAATGTGTTGCATCTGTCCTTTTTCCTCGGTGTCATGCATGGCACGACGCACGACGTACGACGCACGACGCACGACGCACAACGCACGACGCACGACGACCAACCAGGAGGAGGACGAGGAGGACGAGGAGGACGAGGAGGATGAAGAGGAGAACATCGATGTAACTACCTTGGCGAGCGAGAGCGCGCGCGCGCGCGCACTAGCAATGCGTACACCATTGTTTCTATCTATCTCTCGAACCTTCTTCCTATTAAATTTGGAGGAAAAAAGGCTCAGAGCGTGGAAAGAGTGGAAGGAGGAACTCGTAGGGGTTTCGAGAAGCACAGAGGGAACAACGTGAACTGACACAGTTTAATTTATTTCTAAGACGATCCTAACGCGACTACTCCAACGTTATCAACTTTACATTCGATCGTCTTTCTTCCTTTTCTTACTTTACTTTTAGTAAACAAATAAAATTTAATAACAAGTTCAGTTACTCTTATACACTTTTCCATGGAAAATCTAAAAGATCAAAGTAAAATAATATTAAACATCGCTGTCTATACAATAATGAATGACCGCGACGATAAACGTGACAACAACCGAAACTTAACCGAAAATGACATGACATCCTATCGCAAGAAACGACGAACTATCAGAGTCTTTCTTTCTCGTTCTGACAAGCACACAACAAGTAGAAATGACGAAGAAGACACGCATATCTGTAATACTTGTCGTACGCGAGTGTAGAAGCACTCATGCGTGCGTATCGAAGAAGTGCACCACACTTCTTTCCGACGGAGGACACGCTCTTGTCGATGGAGAAAAACAGAGCTAGAGTATATATGTTGTATATGTGTAAGGGCGTGTGTATTGCGGAAGAGGGGGAGAGCAAAAAGAGAGAGACAGAGAAAATAATGCGATGCGTTACGAGATGGAACATACGAGAGAAAAAGAGATAAATGGGTGGGTAGGGGTAGGTATGTAGGTAGCTAGGTAGGTAGCTAGGTAGGTAGATAGGTAGGTAGCTAGGTAGGTAGGTAGGTAGGTAGAGAGAAAGAAAGAGAAAGAGAGAGAGAGAGGCAGACAGGCAGACAGACAGACAGACAGACAGTCAGACGAGTGGGAGGGAGAGAGAAGTCGATGTTCGATCGAGGAGGACTGCAGAGGGAAATTCTTGTCTTGATATATAGGTTAATACAAGAAAGATTTAATTGTTGAAAGACATCTCCATTTTTTCTGTAAGGAAAGAAGGGCTCGAGAAAAAACAGGGCCGAGAACCTGACCAATAATCGTTCTCCCATTGAAATCCTTAGACAGTTGCGATGCCAACAATTTAGAGTAGAAAAGACCGATCGAATAACGGACAAGAGACTATAAATCCATAGTCGTTGAGAACGGCGACTTTGCGACGTAGAGAAAGACAGATAGATAGAAGAAACAGAGATAGAGACAGAGACACAAGAAGATGGGTGGACGAGGAGGAGGAGGAGGAGGAGG